GGCGGATTTCTGCCCAAAGCCTGGAACCTGTACTTTTGACACATGTGCCAGTTAATGAAATTGGCTTGGGGAAGCTTTACTGTGCCGACTGAGTTTGTGGCTCTTATTTCACGTTTTTGTTCTAGCAGCAGATGGGACAAGGAGGGAAAAGCCCTGGTTGTTCTGCCCAGTTACAGTTCAAAGTGATAGCATCCTTCTTTCTGTTTTGTGTTTGGAAGGAGAAGTTGACAGAGGAGCGGAGGGCCTGTCTCTGACACTCAACCTGCCTGCTGACGTGACCCACAAAAACATTAGGGCGCGCTTGCTGTCTGGGTGCACTTTCCCTCCGGTATCACTGTAGCCACCAATGAGGGAAAGCCAGGGACCCAGGGCTCCTAGATACTGAAGTAACACGAGTTCAAGCCAAGGCTTGTGAACTGTGAGTTCTGGATGAAGGAAAGCTACTTGCCCTTGCAGAAGAAAAATGAGGCTTTCTTGTTGGAGGCACGACTGAGCGACAAAGCAATGAGAAAGGCTCAGGTTGGCTTCTCATGACCTGATTTCCTCTCTTCTCTCTCCGCCCCCTCTCCTTCAGTACCCTAAAACGCCCTCTGAAGCTCAGACTGGCTTCAAACTCATGACCCTTGTGCTTCAGCCTCCAGAGTACTGGGATTACAGGCTGGCTGTTTTTTATCTTTGAGAGACACAGGGTATATTCCTGCAATTTCTTAACTTTAGACACTAGGCAACTCCATGACAAATCAAATGGAAAGGTAAAACTGCCCAGAATGCAGTCTGGGTTATTGGAAATAGCCATTTGTTTTCTCAACTCCCCTTCCCTAGTCATTAGTTTTCACTACTTAAAACAAGGCTCTGAGAACAGGAGGAGGATCTCAGGTATAGATAAGGCATGCAGACACTAGGGATCCATACCCAGTTTTACTGGGGACAAAAAGCAGTCTTTAATGCAAAAAAAAAAAAAAAAAAAAAAAAAAAAGGAGCCCAGAGTCACACTGCCAGTGCAGCAGGAAACCCAAAGCTGTGCTCCTACAGCTAGCTCTCAGGGTTTTGCCCTTAAGAACAGCAGCAGGAAGACAACCCAAACTCTCAGGCAGGATACCCAGCCTTCCAATTGCTTTAGTGCTTCTTTGTTTTCATCCTTTTGGGGGGAGGGTACCCAGAAAAGAGAAGTATTCAAGCTTTGGAACCTCCAGCCAGTTCCTGCTCTGACACCCACAGCCTGTGGAATTGTCTCTCCAGAGAACAAAACCATCTAAAACTAAAGATGTGCTTCTTCTGCTTGATGATGCACATTCCCACACCGAGGGAAAGACAAACAACCAAGCCTATCACTCGGATTTGTGTCCCTTCTTGAGGATGCACAACTTGCTGAGTGGAGCACAGGCTGGATTCTGGGTTTCAGTCCCCAGTCCCTTTCAGTCAGTGGCTATAATGAGCCAGCAATCCATATAACTGAAGCAGCAGCTTCTTCTGCCTGGATCCTTTGTGACTAGGCAGATGATACAGATGGAGGTTCTTCCTCCCTATTGCCCATACTTAACAGCCCGAGTTAGTTCCTCTTGCTCCAGCTCCTCTAGATCTTGCAGCAATTCATTCTGGACGCAGGATGACAAGACTGGTCAAGACAAAGAAAGCAACCAGTCCCCAAAGAGACCACCTTTGAAGTTCCCTCCCAACGTTGTTCCAAGAGCCTCTCTAGCTCCTTCTGAGCAGTGCAGTGCTTTCCCCAATATTCTCTGACCTCTGAGTCCAGTCACCTCATCCACACCATCTGTAAACCCACAGGGTGAGGAAGGACATCTGACATCTGCTGGGACAGCTCCTGTTGTTCTGTGACGTCAGCCAGCAGTTCTTCTACCTTGCCAATGTCACTAAGACACACTGCCAAGGAATCAGGTGGCACCCTCCTTCCAGCGACATCCCCAAGCCCCTAACCACCATTGGCTTTCTCACCTCACACAATGAAGCCATTTGTCATATGGCCTCACACTGGGTTTTACACTTCCATTCCAAAGACTTTAAAAGTGAATGGAATGAATTTTTCTCACCTACAATGCCCTGGCCAGCAAAAGGATCTTTCATGAAGAAAGCAAGGAGATAGTCTAATCTTCAAAAGCATGAGAAGCTTTAGAAATCAAAAGTAAGGGCTGGAGAGAAGGCTCAGTTAAGAGGACACAAGTTTGGTTCCCAGCACCCACATGAGCTTGAGGCAGCTCACAAGTGCCTGTTAACTCCAGCTCAGGGGGATCCAATATCTTCCTCTGATTTCTGTGGATACCCCAAACACACTGTAAATGTACATTTACACTCATAAACAAAAACCCTCAGAAGACAGTCAGGCACATCTCTGTCAGTTTGAGGTTGGACTCATCTACATAGGAAGGTCTAGGTCAGCCAGGGCTACATAGTCCCTGTCTTGAAAGTAAACAATCTCTCTCCCTCCTCTCTCTCTCTCACACGCACACCAAACAAAACCAAACCAAAAGAAAGTCTTGTATAGGACCCAGTGGGTCCCAACACTCACATCTGACAACTCAAAACCACCTGTTACTCCAGTCCAGGGGATCGAATACCCTCTCCTGGTCTCTGTGGGTATCTGCACTCATGTGCACATATCCTCCCCCCACACACAATGAATATGTATACGATTTTAAAAACAAGTTCAAAGTATTGGCACAACCACCTTCCCTAGTGCCTGGCCCCTTATTCTCCACCCCCCATATCCACATATCCTGGCAGACTTCCTTCGTGCCTTGGGTACAAAGCACTTGTGCACTGATGGTGGCATTCTCAATGGCCTCTGGCCGAACCTCCAGGGTGGATACTAGCCATCAGTTTGTGCCAGCTTCTGTTCTCACCTTTTCTTTCTCCACAAAGCCCGCAGGGTGTCTGACCCAGCCCACATCCTGAACTTCAGAGTCAGGAGCACCAGGGGGACACCCCTAGCAGCCCCTTTTCTCCATGACTTTGCTTATTCTTGGTCCCATGCTTTTTGGCTGTTTGTAGATTCCTGTTTAACCTTGTACTCCAGAAACTCCTGTTTGATCAGAATTTCTTCTGTCCCCTTCAGTTTCTATATTGCTTCAAGAGTTAGACTCCTCTTTTCCCTCAAGAGCCCAATGGAGCAGCCCTATATTGTGTGAAGGAAAGTATTAGCCACCATCAGTGAATACACAATATATGCTAGGCATTTCCGGGACCACTCATCTTTAAATGAGTCTCTACAATCAATGTATCAGTATCACTTGGCAAATAAGAAAACAAGCACAGAGATGTAAATGATTTTTGTCTAAAGTCATAACTAGTAGATTGAGTAGAATAAGTAGTAATCAAAACATTGTGCTGGGTATGGTGGAACACACATATAATCCCAGCATTTGGGAGGCTGAGGCAGGACTACTGCAAGCTTGAGGCTAGCCTGAACTACACATGAGTTCAGGTCAGCCAAGGATATATAAAGCAAGACCCTGTCCCAAAAGATCAAACGTACAAAGTAAAAGGAGCAACCAGACTGCAGAGCCCATGCCGCTCTGCTCTTCTGAGGCTCATTTCAAGTCACATTTTATGACCATTGTCCCAAGTGCTGTCTCAGGAGATGATGTCAAAGGCCCTGCCGTGCATGCCGTAACTAGAAGAATTACAAAGGACTGGGGTGCAAGGAAGAGAACGTAACTTCGATTTCTTCCTCCATCTTCTAGATCTGAGCGCTAACCCTTGCAAATAAAAGCCTAGTGGCCTCTGCCTGCTTAAAACTCTCTCCATTGCCAACAGGAGAAAAATTAAAAAGTTCAGGCATATCCAAGGTTCTGGATGATTTGCTTACCCTCCATCAATGCCTCTATATCCGGTCCTTTTTATTCCCTCACATCCCGCAAACTCAGAGAGGCCAGAAGTTCTATTTTCCCTAACCTATTGTACCCCTGCTTCTGTTTTTTGAAGGCTCCTTCCCAGCAGTTACCTCAGTGCTACACCTGGCAAACGGTTGGCTTTTTTGGATACTGTGTCCAGCGCCCACTGCTGTGCTGTCTTGGTTTTTCAGGCTCATCTCCGTCACCGAGTTGCCACACTTTACTGCCAATGACTTTTTCTAGAGTCACCCACACCACCAGATAGAAGCTTAAAGAAGATAGTCTTTCTTCTTCACTTCAGACTTCTTTTATTCTTACCAAGTAAGCTACAATGCTTGCAGTCACCCAGAAACCAATTCCTCCAAGCCTGTGCCCGGGAAGCTAAAAAACTGCCACACCTTCTGCTCACACCCCCACTCAGTCCCGTGCAAGGCAGGCTGGGGCAAGGCGGCTGGATAAGGTTGGCCTTCTGGCACCAAAGAATGCCGAGCTTGGTCAAGGACCGGGTGTTTGGGCAGCCTGTCTCCTGGTCCTCTTCCCGCCAGGGCCGCAGTGTTTCTATTCCCTTCTGGCCCAGTGCCTCCCAGGCTCACACCTCCCGGGGGGTGGGGTGGGGGAGCCCGCCGAGCCCATTCTTGACCACTTCACTCTTCCCGCTTTCCTTCGCGACTATCATCAACCTGAGACCGGCCTTGGCCAATCAGTCCAGGGCGTAGCCGTGACATCATCAGCAGGCGCAATCAAGACCACGGCGGGACAGGGACAAGCACTCGGGTTGGCTCACTCACTCCTCTTCACGTAGCCACATTCCTCTGCTACTAAAAAAGGCGCCCCAATCTTGTTCCCAAATAGTATTGGCTTTTATTCCCAGCAAGGACATACGGCGTTATGGCACCCCATTATGTGAATCAGTAGAAGACATTGGACGGGGACTCGGGATGGATTCCCACATGAGGCAACAACCTGATGTAGGCTAAGCTTTCACACTTCTGGTGCCGACACCCCCAGGGCCGCCAAACCCAGTTTACACGTTAGAAAAATAGAAACAACACATCCTGTGGGTAAAACCTTGACTGTCACAAACGGACACTTTAATAAATTACAAATGCAGCTGACAAGGCTTTCTTGATTTCTTTTCAGTTTTACACCTCAGATGAGGCTTACCCATTGTTTGGACCTCAGTGTCCAGCCTGGGCCTTTGCAAATGTCTCTAATCCTTGAGTCAGTGTTTGCAGACTCATTCCATTCTGGACGTGAATGCAGGTAACACCTGGAACAAAAAGTCACATTTTAGTAGTCTCTTTCAGGACTCCTGGTTATTACTCTCATCTGCCATACATTATCCACCCTACACTTAACTTTGCTACATCCTCCTAGGAACCCTTTCTCCTCATCCCTCACCCCCCAAGGTGACTCAGTACCAAGTTTGCCCACATCTATGATATTCCGCTTCTCATCATCAAAGAAGACCATCTGAGAGAAAGGAACTCCAGTCTTGTGGTGCAACCTGTGAAAGACAGGGCAAGGGTAACCCAGCTGGCAAGATGGTTTACCTGGCCTCTCTGGAATTACTGCTCCCACGATCAGCTGTCTGCCTACCTCTCAAAGTGTGCGACTTTGCTGCCTGGATATATTTCCCGATGAACAAAATATTTGACAAGGTCAAAGAGCTCCAGTAGTTGGTTGGCCCCTTCTATCTCACCTGTCCTGGAAAAAAAAAAAAAAAAAAAGCGCCAGAGATGTAAGCAAAGTTAGGGATAAAGGGGTAGAGGGGCCGATTTGCTCAATTTATTTAATACCAGAGAGTATGAAATGGTTAGCGCTGAGCCAACGTTTAATCATTTAAAAGAACAGAAAGCATAGATAGGATAAAGAAGCAACGAAAATATTTGTATATTTGCACCTCATAATTTTTGGTACCCGGGGAGTTACATGCGATTTCCTCATGTGTGGAGATTGGTCAGAGGGCTGTCTGTCGCTTTCCTTACCGAGAAGCAGCGGCCACTGGCACTCCAAGGCTCTGCAATCTGTCCAAGACTTCAGGCACCTCGGGGTACAGTCGGATGTTCTGGCCCCGCCTATCCCGTATAGTTCCATCACTGGAGATGGTGACACAACTGTGCTCAGCTTCCGCAAAGTCCCTCCTGGCCCCATAGCTCCCTGTTGTCTCACCTGCTCTTGTGGAACGGGGGATCTACGTGTGTATCAACCCAGAAAGGCCAGAGCGTGTAATCTGCGAGAGAAAGGAGGGAGAAAGTTCAACCTGGAGGAGCGCGGACACTTAGCCACTGCCGGGAATGGAAAAGGGAAGCGCCGTATGAAACTCTCCCTGTGGTTCCTCACCCAGATCAAAAACCGCAAGCTTTGGCAGCGGCGTCATAATCCACCCGCAAACCCAAACTCGGCGCCGAGATTACCCCAACTCTGTGGTGGGCAAACTGGCTGTGGGCGCGCTACCGAGAACCGGCGACGCTCGGGTGACTAGAGCGTCGCCGCCTGACGGCGCAAGAGCGCCTTCGGAGGCTCTGCGGGGAGATTACCTGCAGAGAATGACCGACCACACTTCTCTCCAAGCCATAAGCATTTGGTGTCTACCCCACCCAACTCACTCAAGAAGCCAATGAAACTTTCTCTTTTGCACCTTTATCTTGGAATTGAGACCTCACCAGTTTATTACTTTGCGCTCATTGTGTCTTTACATCAGCATCTTGATAGTATAAAAACCAGCCTTCAGCAACAGTGAAAGCAGAAAGAATGTAATATCTGAACTCCGTGGTGTACTTTAACCTCAGCTATAGCCAGGGAGTTACTTGTACCTAGGAATTGAGACCAGCTGCGCAATGAAAATCTAGTCTCACAAAAGGTGTAGAGGGCGTTTGTAAAGCCCGAGTCCCGTTCTGCAAGACAGTTTGAAGTTCCAGCATTGCTGCACAGGGAGAGCATTTCTTCCCTAGGTTTCTACCATCCTCGTCAACAGTATGCTGCTATTCCCTTCAATACTGTGAAGAAAATGAAGCCTTGGGTTTCGACTCTAATAAGCTTCTAAAAAATAATTTAAAAAAAAAACACATGGTTTTACGTGATAGTTTTTGCTATTGAGACAGGACCTCAGGACTGGCCTTGAACTCCTGTCTCTATCTCCCAAGTGTTGAGATTATAGGTATGTGTCACAATACCAGATTTTCATGCAACACTGTATATTATTGAAACACATGTCCATTTCAGTAGGAAGACTTATATGTACCACAGGTATGTGAAAAGTGTAAATGTTCTAACATGGTTTCTTTTTTGTTTTATCTTGATAGGGTTTCTCTCTATAGCTCTGGCTGGCCTTGAACTCACAGATCTCTACCTGTCTCTGCCTCCCAGGTGCTGAAATTAAAGGAGTATACCATCCATCACCATGCAGCTTGCTCTGGAATTCTTGACCCTTAGGCCTCAGCCTCCCAGGCACTGGAATTACAGGTCTCAACTACCACCCCTAGCTACCATGGTTTATTTAAAGTTACCAAGACAGCCACTTAACATGAAATCAGAAAAGTGATTTCACTTGGCACTCATGAACAAGTGATGAGGACCAAACACTTATCAGATTGTTTCTCAAGTGGAGTGCAAAAGCAGGTTCAACTGGCATTTAGAACTTGCAAGAAGTAATTCCTCTGGATTCACCCCCACCCAGGATCATCTGAGGTAATGGAGTAAAATGTTTTTCAGCAGAAAAGGCTATGCTGCAGCCAGTTGATGGGACATGCCTATAATTCCACCTGCTCAGGAGGTTAGGGCAAGGGGATCAATAGTTCAGGGTGGGGGCCCTTGGCTTTAATTCCAGCACTCAGGAGGCAGAGGCAGGTGAATTTGAGGCCAGCCTGGTTTGCAGAGCTAGTTCCAGGACAGTAAGCACTATATAGATTCTGTCTAAAAACAATCAAGAGTTCAAGGACAGCCTGGGATACCTATCTAAAACCTGTTTCAAAATAAATACGCCAGCCTGAGGGTACATGCCTTCAATCCTAACACTCTGAAGGCAGACAGGTGGATCCACATGAGCTTAAGGACGAGTTCTAGTCCAGCTGGGGGTATACAATTAAGACTCCACCACCCCATTTCTCAAAACACCCTAAGAGCAGAGTGCTCCCTTCCACTGTCCTACTTTGTTACCACTGTGCCCATTTTTATTTCTGTCATATGTGGCAAGAAAAAAAGATTCCAGGAGGCCAGGAAACATTTTATTGACAACCAAGGACATAGCCATAAGAGAGGGAAGCACACAGACTGCAGACTACAACCCAATAGCCAGTAATGGCCATTTGGGCCAGGAACACCACACCCTGGTGTCCTCACATTCTCCCACCAGTAGACACACAGGATTGGACATCCAAGGGAGGGGGCAGTAGTTCTGGTGTCCCAGAGAGTGAGAGGATATGTGATGCTTCATTATGAGCGACAGGGCAAGGAGGAAAAATGGAACCGAGGTTCATCACTGCCCAAGACCACCTCCTCCTCTAAGAGCCAACACCAGGTGGAGGACTGAACCACCTAGAATCTTGTAATCAGCTGCTGTCTTCTCATCATTCCTACAGGAAGAAAAAGTATTAGAAATACCATCTAGAATAGGCATTTGTAATCTGGGTTTTGTGGCTCTCTTTGGGAGGCCTGTGAAATTGGATGAGGAAAATATTCCTCCTTTATTTTTATTAACTCCTAACTATAATTAGTACTTAATTCTGAACACAGACTAATAGACCCACGGTGTTAAAAATATGGTAACTTAGACAATAGAAATTAAACATTTTAAAATTGTAACTGTAGGTATCTTGAGAAAAATTTTTAAAAAGCAGCTATCAGACCCATCAAACCTTACAATAAGATATTAATAAAGAGGGCTGGAAAGATGACTCAGCAGTTAAAAGCTCAAACTGTTCTTGCAGAAGACCTGCATTCAGATTCCAGCACCCACTTCAAGAGGCTCATAATCTTATATAACTACAGCTTCAGGGGGATCTGATAGCTCTAGCCACCTGCACTCACCTATAAATATACACATAACTAAAACAATGAATTAAAAATATATTAATAAGCACATAGATTACTATTCTACAAATTTGTTTTAGTAGCTTGATAACTGTTTCAACATTGGCTTGTAATCCAATATATTTTATTCTATGCCTTCTCTTATTCTGAGACTATTCCATATGCTTCACCAAACTGTCAAGAGCTGAAAGCAGGGCACACTGAAGTAGTGGCTGGCAGGCCTGATGTACCTCTAGCCTTGTCACCTCATCTTTGTACAAAACTGCTATGCCCCACTTTCCACCCAAACTTACATTTGTTTGCCACTGTAGATGAGCCGCTGCTGTTGTGGGGGGATTCCCTCTTTCTCTTCCACACGCTCCTTGATTCGCTCCACCTTTAGAGGAACAAGAGGTCAGAGGCAGCTTAGACTTACAGTAGTAAGAACAAAGGCTGTGTAGACAACATGAATACAAAAAGCCCACGGTCACAGGCACATACAAAGACACAAAGAAAGGGGGGGGGGGAGAGACATGCTGAGCATACATCACCTTGTCTGTGGGTTCAATGTCAATTTCAATCTCCTTTCCAGTCAGCGTCTAAAACAGACAAATGATTTCATAAACTCCACAGCCCAAAACCAATTGTCTTCTGGGGTAGACTGATGAGAATGGCCCCTACAGGCTCATGTTTGACTACCTGGTAGAGTTGATTGAACTGTTTGGAAAGGAGTAGGGCCCATGACCTTGTTGGGGGAGGTGTGTCACTGGGAATGGGCTTTGAAGTTTCAAAAGCTCAAGTCACTCCCAGTTATGAGTGTGCATGCACTCAAGCACTCTCTTTCTGCCTCACACGTGTAGCCTGAGGTGTGAGCTCTCAGCTTCTGCTCCAGCACGATGCCTGTCTGCTGCCACGCTTCCTGCCATGATGGTTATGGCCTCACCCTCTGAAACTGTAAGCCCCAGATTAAATGCTGACTTTTATAAGTTTCACTGCTGTGGTAGTTTGAATGTAATTGGCCCCCATAAGCTCACAGTGAGTGGCACATTAGAAGGTGTGGCCTTGTTGGAGGAAGTGTGTCACTGTGGAGGCAGGCTGTAAGGTCTCATATATGCTCAAGTCATGTCCAGTGTCACCTGTGGATCAAATGTAGTTTCTTCTCCACTCTCAGCCCCTCCTCCTACAGCACCACGTCACCTGCATGCTACCATGTCCCCACAATGATGACAGTGAACTAAACCTCCAAAACCATAAGTCATTCAATTAAATATTTTTACTTTATAAGAGAGGCTGTGGTCATGGTGCCTCTTCACAGCAATGGAAAAGACATAAGTACATCTCATCTTGGTCTCTGAGGTACTCTCTTCTGAGAGATATGCAGTCTCAGCAATGCTGCCTTGAAGAATCAGAAGGCACCACAGTTGTGTCATCAGGCAGTCTAAGACAGAATTCTGCGAACCACTTGATTTCCTCAATGCCACAAGTCACCTTCTGATCTTCACCCCAACCCAAATTAGCAAGAATATCAACAATTCTTTAGATGATATAGCAATAACAAGTGACCTAGACAAGGCCATCCTGCAAGTCAGAAGGACTTCATTCCAGTACAAAAATCACATTTACAGAATATAAAGGATTCTCAACAACACAAGAAATTACTGCCAACTAGGTTTCTTTTGAAATGCTGGAGTTCAACATTATATTCTTCCCTATATATTCCAGAATTCTATGTAAATCCTAAACTAAAATCAAAATTTCTTGATTGTCACAGGATAAACTAGCTAACCAAATATAATATAATTTGTGCATAAATTATAAACTTGCGTTTCATACAATCTTATCTCTTATCTACCCTGCTTTTTGTTTGTTTTGTTTTTATTCTTTTACCCTTATTTTTACTTTATGTATATGGGTGTTTTACCTGCATGTTTGTTTGTGTGGAAGCCAGAAGAGGGCATCAGATCCCCTGGAACTGGCATTAACGATTGTAAACTGCCACGTGGGTGTTGAATCAGAACCTAGGTCTTTGGAAAGAGCAATCAATGCTCTTAACTGCTGAACCATCTCTCCAAACCCTCCCACTGCTAGAATTTCTAAAAGCCCTTATTTAGCTGGTATAGTGGCACACAGCTATTATCCCAGCACTCCAGGATATGGAAGCTAATAAATTTGAGGCCAGCCTAGAACACAGTAAGCTCTTATCTCAGATAAACACAAAATTAGTGCTGGGGATGCAGCTCAGTTGGTAGAGTGCTTGCCTATGATGCCCTGGGCTCAGGCACATAAACCGTATAAAATAAACTGGGTGCAGCAGTGCTCACCTTAGTCCCAGCACTTGGGAGGCAGGACAGGAAGATAAGATGGTCAAGACCATCCTTGGCAACATATAAGTCAAGGCTAGCCTGAGATAAATGAGATGCCATCTCAATAAAAATAAATAAATAAATAAAGCAATAATCCCTCACATGACAAAGTGAATTTTTATAATTCTGTGCTGTCCATAAATCATTTTGTTTTATTGATCTTAACTTCAAACTCAAAGACTTTTCAACTACAGAATTTCATTTCTCAGTCATTAACTTAGAAAAAGCTGGCCTGTTCCCCACACCTTTATTTAATCTTAGCACTTGGGAGGCAGAAGCAGGCAGATCTTTGAGTTGGAGGCTACCAGCCTGGTCTATATAGTGAGTTCAAGGACAGCCAGGGCTATATGAGAAATGATGTCTTGACCCCCTATTCCCCCCCCCCAAAAAAGAAGAAAACCTTAGAAAAAGCTACCTTATGAGCAGTAAGAGTAGGTAACAATGCTCTCCATATAAGCCTAGTGGCCTGACTCTAATCCCTGAAGAGGAGAGATCAACTCACAAAGTTGTCCTTTGACCTCCACATACTCCTGTGGCATATGCAGCCACACATATCACGCCCCCCATCTCAAAAATAAAAAGTAAAATACAGGGGCTGAAATGGCTCAGTGGTTAAGGGCACTGACAACTCTTCCAGGACCAGGCTCAATTTCCAGCACCCGGGTTCAATTTATTCCCAGCACCCACATGGCAACTCACAACTGTCTGTAACCCCAGTTCCTGGGGATCCAACACCAATGGCAAAGCACCAATGCACATTTAAAAAGATAATAATAAAGAGGTTGGTGGTTAAGAGCACTTGCTACTCTTGCAAGAGGACTTGGGTTTGGTTCCTAAGACCCATGTGGCAGCTTACAACCATCTATAACTCAAGTTCCAGACATGCACTAGGCACACTTATATACATAAAAGCAAAGCACTTATACATATAAAATAAAAATAAATAATTTGGGCCAGCACTCAGAAGGCAGAGGCAAGAGTCTGAGGCCACATGGCAGGACCCTGTCCCTCACCAAAATACCTTTTTCAGGAGTGCGAAAGAAGCCCAAAGCTGTAACTCCATGGAGCTTGTACCTAATGTGCAGGCAGGGAGCAAGAGAAAGAAGAAAGGAGAAAAGAAAACTAGAAACAAGAACCTATGTGGTGGGGTAGGTTGAACCTGGAGACTCAGCTATTAGGGAAGCTAAGGTCAGCCTGGGCCGCATAACAAGGACATGTCTCAAATAGGAAACGGGTGGGGTGGGGGAGGGGGCTTCATTTAAAATAAATTAAGCCTGACTGGTGGCTCAGTCCTTTGGAGACAGAGGCAGGCAGATCTCTGTGAGATCCAGGCCAGTCTGATTAGTGAGTTTCAGGCTAGTCAGGGCTATACAGTGAGACCTCGTCTAGAAAACCAAAATGCAATCCACTGCATCTTCCCCTCATCCCTCTCCTACTTCTTAAGAGAGAATCACTTTTGTGAGGGATGCGCTTCCTTTTTTCCCTGTGTATGTACATATGTGAGCATCTAGAAAATGAAAAGTAATTTTATATGCTTTAAATAATTACACATTGTGGGCTAGTGAGATGGCTCAGTGGGTAAAGGCCTTGCCTCCAAGCCTCCAAGAGAACTGATCATACATTGTCCTATGACTTCCACATGTGTGCCATACCACAACACATTATTATTATATACATTGGTACATAAAATATTCTGCTTTGATTTTTCAAGACAGGGAAACTCTGGCTGGCCTCGAACTCACAGATCCACTGGCCCCTGATTCCTGGATTTGGTTCCCAGAACCCACAAAGTGGCTCACAACCACCTGTAACTCCAGTTCTAGGGAATCCAGTGTCCTTTTCTAGCCTCGTTGGCACCAGGCACACAAGTGGTGAACAAACATACAAGCAGGCAAAGCACTCATATACATAGACAAAATGAAAATTATTTAAAACATAGGTAGATGCTGCAGACAAGGAGAATGGTAAATATTGAGTAAAAATGAAGGCAGGTGATGATGCATGCTTATAACCCTAGTCCCTGGAGGTTGAGGCAAGAGGAATGTGAACTGGGGATCAGCCTGGGTGGAACTTCCAACACCTTGTCTCAGCCAGCAATTAGGAGGCTAAACTGGAGGATCTCCACAAGTTTGAGACCACACTAGGCTACAGAGGCTGGTTCAAAAATCCAAGAAACAAAACACACACCACCACCACCATTACAGACCTACTACTGAACAGGGACTATCATTTTTGGCAACACCCTTAGGTGATTCTGAGAAGACTACCCAGAAGATAAATACATATGAACTAGTAACACACATGTAGTAAAAAATGAAAACAAGTGTCAAAAAATAATACCTTTACCCACCAGTACATCCTCTTTCACTTTGCAAAACACAAGCACATACATTTCCTAATTTTAAACTAAAATTAATTTCTATTGTTTGTGGTGCTGAGAATCAAACCAAAGGCTTCATATATACTAGTCAAGCAGTCTAGTACTCAGATCCTGGCCTTCTCTCTCGTCCCTTCTTTTCTCTTCTTCCCAGTTTTTGTTTGTTTGAGACAGGGTTTCGAGATGTAGCCCAGACTGACCTCAAACTCCAGCCTCAGCATCTTAAGTACTGGAACGTCGTCAGACACCAACCATCATTAATATTTCTGTTTTTGTTGTTGTTTGTTTTTTATGACAAGATTTCTCTGTATAGCTCTGGCTGTCCTGGAACTCCCTCTGTAGCCCAGGCTGGACTCACTGAGATTCCATCTGCCTCTGTCTACCAAGAGCTGGGATTAAAGGACTGCAACACCACTGCTTGGCTAGCTTCAATCCTCAATTAAAGAAGTTACTGGAAGGACCGAAGAAAACAAGGTTAACAACAGCTAACATACAGTGTAACTGAAGACAGACTTACAGAGCTAGTAAAAGCTCAAACTAATGTCAGGCTGCATCAACTGTCAGTTTTGTATCTGTCTAAGTATACAAAGGTAAAAACAGCAGAAAAGGGTTTAAAACTGATGGACTAAGGGAGCCAAAGAAGGCACAGTTTATAAAGAGGCGATGCGCCCATTAAGTAGCCTGCTTCAGCCAAAGAAGTGGCTGGTTCTTAACGTCCACCTCGGACAAGAAGGTGCCAAGTGATCACAGGCCTAGCGTAGCTACTGCATGATGGTGAGACGCTAACCTTGGCAACCACCAGCAAAGGCTTATAGTTTAGCTGCTGAGAAGCCCTCACTCTCCCTAGACTAATGCTTCAGAGCTGTGCTTTGGAAGCAGCCTATGTTAAGGCCGGAGGGAAGCATGCACCTAGGCATGAAGAACGGGGGATGAAGCTTTTCTCAATAATTCTGGAGTGAGGAGCCAAGCTGCTGCCAGGCCTTCTCTATGACTGCAAAGGCTCGAAAACAGTGAGACCAGGAAAAACGCTGCCTCCTACTTGGTCACAGTATAGACCTGGCAAGGACGGAGGGAAGGCAAACACCCGAGATCTTCGGGCGGGACCGTCCTCCAGCGCTCAAAGCCTCCCGGGGTCCCCCTAGTTCCCATCACGCCTCGCGCAGGGCCCCGAGAGTGTTAGCCCTCCAAGTTCAGGAAAGGCATGGTTTTCTCTCCCCGCCTCTCCCCTAAGGCGCAGCGGCCAGCCCAGCACCACTGAGTCTTGGCAAGCCTGGTAATGCTCCCACCTTCACTTTAATTAGCATCTTCCTCCCAGGTTGGGGCTGCAGGCGGCTAGAGTGCTGCTTCTCCCGCTGTGGTCGCGGCTGCCGCTTCCCAGCACTCCACGGCTAGGAACACTTCTGCTTCCGGGTCACCGTCCGGACCCACCCTCTCCTCTTTCCACCCGGTTCCCAAAAGGCTCAGGAATGCCTTCGTGTTTCGTGTCAATGGCGTTGTAGAGAAAAAGGCGAACCGGCTTAGGAACGGCACAGTCGACGCCCTGAGACGCCGCACGTGCCCAGCGAGCTGGGGTTAGCGGCGAGCTGGAGCAGAACAAACTACTTTTCCCATCATGCCAGGAGGCAGCTCCGCCTTTGCATCCTAGGAGTTGTAGTCCTCCCGCCGCTCGCACCCAACGGCAACCTCAGTGTGTGGACTCTGTTACCCAGAAGGCTTTGCACAGCACCCGAAGCTGGAATTCCTTGGGTAGTCAGGTTTGCAATTAGCGGAACTTGTTGGTGTTGCCCTGAAGGCTCATCCGAGCTGCACGCGGCTAGTTGCTAAGCGAAAGAATCTGGTCAACTGCCACCTGAGTCAAAGCAACAGGAAGTGAGTACCCCTATGCCGGAAGCTGATTGAAATCTCTTTTCTCCTCCCCGACTAAGTCAGTTTCTTACTCTAAATTGCCCTGTGCTGGGGCAGGAAAAGTAAGATTAGCAGGGTAAGGAATGAACCTTCAGAGATCATAATCTCTTCCCTGTTCTGCCTAACAATACTTGGAAAGTATTTGGGTAATTCAGATACTGGATAGTCCCAGTGAGACTTAAAGGACCACACCCTGATCTGATTTTACACAATTTAAGCTTGAGAGGTGGCTCTTGTCCTACCGTTCTTTACTTGTTACTCCCTAGTCTTCCAGCCCTCACCTTTTTATCTAACTGCAGCCCTGCACCATGCCTCATATTGACAATGATGTGAAACTAGACTTCAAGGATGTCCTATTGAGGCCCAAACGCAGCACCCTTAAATCTCGAAGTGAGGTGAGCCAGCCATCTTCTTGCTTTTTTGACCCCAGACTTCTGGTGGACCAGGACCAAGAAAGCTGCCCGGTTCTAATATGATACTTATTTTCTGGATGAATGAAATACTTTAATGTCTGTTGGTGTCTGCAGGTAGATCTCACAAGGTCCTTCTCATTCCGGAACTCAAAACAGATATACAATGGCATTCCCATCATTGCTGCCAATATGGATACCGTGGGGACTTTTGAAATGGCTAAGGTTCTCTGTAAGGTGAGACTAACCTTATGTACTCTACCCAGTGTTATCACAACAGGCTACAGAGGCATTGCATTGCTACTCCTGTTCTCTGGCAATTGACAGAATGTTGGGTTTACTAGTTTCCCCATTCCTAAGTACCCTTTATCAATTCAAAGATCCATTTGAATTAGTGAGATTCTGAATTTGATTTTGTTCCATTTTCTGATTTATAACCCCTCCCTCCATAAGTTATATACCTTAGGAATTTTTCCAGCACCCACCCAGGTCAACCCAATCACATGCATTTCTTCAGTTTGCCATTATTCTGAACACTGAGCACTCACTGTTTATTCCAGAAACAAAATACTGTTTTGAAATATTTAAAAAAATCCTACCTGAAATAACCTAGAGAAAAGGAGCTTATTAGTTATCTTGTATGCCTACTATTCTTTTAATTTTCCCATTCTTTAGGTCCTAGTTCCTGGGAGTTTCTGAGATGTACCCCAAATGGAAGTTTTTTCTTAAGTACAGGTTGTTCCCTTTGAAAATGGAAAAGACACTGCTCCTGTCAGTAATGTTGCTTGCATGTAGCTGAGAAGGTAGATAGTTGCCTGGCATTTTTGAGAACATAATGTGCTTTGCTAGTTAACCCATGTAGTTGGTGGGTTCTATTTCTGTTTGTGGCTGTTAGCCTTAAGACTTTGATTTTTCTGTTTTTTAGACTATTTCTTGTGCTTTCTCTGAGACTCATAATTACGGAGTATTATTACTTCATTTCTGCCACCATTTACTAATTGTTCAGGAATCCCGCTGTTGTCTATTGTCTGCCTTCTCTTCTCTGACAGGTAGATTTGGGGAATGGTGAGTCTGTTAAAGGACCTTCCTGGGGACTGGACTTCAATACTGTGCATAAGTGCTACAGAAATAAAATTTTAGCGTCAGAGGTGTCACACACCTTTAATTCCAGCACTCTGGAGTCGGATCTCTGTGAGTTGGAGGGCAGCCTGGTCTACAAATCAAGGACATCCAGAGCTGTTACAGAGGAACCCTGTCTTGAAAAACAAAAAATTAAATTTTAGGAAAATGGTGTCAATAATGATAAAGGGTTAGATACAAGCCAACTTTTTCTTAGGGTTGTTATGTGTTGGGTGTGTTTATTGAGCCAAATATCTCTAAGATCTGCTGACTCCCCAGAGCTCTTGTTTATTAACATGTTGACAGTTGAGTGTTACTGGGAAAGCAGAGTACCAGTTTTTTAAGCATAGAACTTTCGGTTGCTGGCTGACACATGACATCCTTTGGTTTTTCCTCATTTGCAAGATTTGTGGTGTTTCAACTAGCTGTTGGCTCTTGTCTGGTTGCATGTTTGTATACATATTAAACACAAATGCCAGTATTCAGTGTCTTCTGAATGCCTTTCTCAGGAGATATTGTTTGCAATTTCATGAGCCAAGAGGTTTTGAGCCTGATGAGTTATTTTTTTTGCTGCTGGATTTTTTTTTTTTTTTTTTTCCTGAGATAGTGTTTCTCTGTAGCCCTGGCTGTTGAACTCAAAGATCTGCCTGCCTCTCTGAGTGCTGTGATTAAAGGCATGTGACACCACCACCCAGCAAGTCAGTGTATTTTTTAATTTACCTAAGATAGATGAAATCGATCGTTGCACATTTATGTCCCTAACATGAAAATCTGTCCTTGCCTCCAGCAGAAAAGAGAATGGATGGAATAGTATTGTGTTTGCTCCACTAGTCTTTAGTCTTTCACTTTGTATATATGTAGAGTTGAATGACTGCCGGCAAGTATTTTAGTATTGGATCACCTTAGAGCTAAATGTAGACAAACACTAACTCCATCCATCCTCTTCATAGCCCTTCCATGCCTGCTACTTGTCCTGCTGTACCAGCTCTGTGTTCCTGGCACTTTTTGGGTCACAAGCAATGTATTTGCTAACAATTTAAATCCAACCAAGATCACAGTACTTTCACAGGAATTTTTGACATGTACTAATTTAGGGTAAAAAGCTATACTGGAATTTATAGGTAGAATAGTGGTTGAATCAGCTCAGTCAGCTCAGATGCATCATTTTCTTTCTCAGGACTATAAAGATATTTCCAGAAATAAAGTCTCATAAAGTCTTGCCCATTGATGTTTCTTTCTCCTCCCCAGTTCTCCCTTTTCACTGCCATCCATAAACACTACAGCATCCATCAGTGGCAAGAGTTTGCTACCCAGAATCCTGACTGTCTGGAGGTAACTCAGGATCTCCCCTGCTTCCTTATCAGTTTCCCAGGATTCCCTTTTTGGCTCTTAGAAAACAACCCCCACTGTTAGTCCCTATTGGCTGCTTACCAGATAGGTCACTTCTGACTCAGTACCACAAGTTGATCTAATGCTTTCTCCACAGCATCTAGCTGTCAGCTCTGGCACAGGCTCTGCTGACTTTGAACAGCTTGAACAGATCCTGGAAGCTATTCCCCAAGTAAAATATATATGCCTGGATGTGGCTAATGGCTACTCTGAACATTTTGTTGAATTTGTAAAGGATGTACGGAAGCGTTTCCCCCAACACACCATCATGGTATGTCCTTTTTTTTGCTGAGACAAGGGTGTGTGTGTGTATGTGTGTAAAACCTTGGCCATCCTGACCTTTTTTTTTTTTTTTTTTTCTGGTTTTTTGAGACAGGGTTTCTCTGTGTTGCTTTGGAGCCTGTCCTGGAACTCATTCTGTAGACCAGGCTGGCCTTGAACTCAGAGATCTGCCTGCTTTCCCAGGGCTGGGATTAAAAGTATGTGCTAGGCATGTTTCTATGGACTTTTGTGACATTCCATTTTGTCTATCAGTATTTGTCCTCTGCTGCACCATGTTTCTGGTCTATGTGTTATTGTCATGGTTCAGTTTCAGATGTGTCTTAATTAGTGCAATATTGCTGACCCTTCACAGTTCATCCAGAACTGACTTCATTTAAAATACATGGAATTGGGTGTGGTGGTGCACACCTTGAAAGGCAAAGGCAGGTGGATCTCCTGAATTGAGGCCAGCCTGGACTAAAGAGTGAGTTCCAGAACAGCCAGGGCTACATAGAGAAACCCTTGTCTTGAATAGCCAGTCTCCTCCTTCCCCCAACAAAACATGATGGAACAATTATACATTTATACATGTGGTCCATTATGGTACATTATGTCTGCCTACTGAAATGGACATGTGCTACAGTAATGTTACATGAAAGCCTGGCATTGTGACACACATTTACAATCACAGTACTTGAGTTTAGAGTTAGAGGCAGGAGTTCGAGGCCAACCCTGAAATCTTGTCTCAAATTAACAGCAAAAAGTATCACTTAAAACCATGCTTTATTTTTATTGGAGGCCTAGTAGACAAAACCCAAGGCTTCATTTTCTTCACAGCATTGAAGGGAATGTCTGTACTGTCCAAGTACAGCTGGGCAGATGGATGTCTTAGCCCACATTTCAGTCTTTCTGTTTTCTCTTAAGGCAGAGAGCTTCAGGACTGGGCAATAGTGACCTGGTAGTGAAAGGGGACGACTGTCAGATATGAGTGGCGTTTCTCTGCTTCATCAATAGCTCTTTAATGTCACTTTGTCTTCTTGTTGGTCTGCCTTAAAGGTCATCCTGGACCACTGTGCCCTAGTTTAACGGCACACTGGCCAGTTCCCTTTATCCTTCATACTAAATGGAAGTGTGAGTGCTGGGGAAGGATGAGTGGGAATCTGGGCACTCTGCAGTTGGTGGACGGTCCTGTAGAGGGACTCCAGGTACCTTTAATTTATAATAGGATGGTCATAGTCAAAGCATATTACATGAGAGCACAAAGGCTGCTCTCCATGGCTGATCCTAAGGATGCTCTCTTTTGTTGTGTCTCAGGCAGGAAATGTGGTAACAGGAGAGATGGTAGAAGAGCTAATCCTCTCTGGGGCTGACATCATCAAAGTGGGAATTGGTCCTGGTAAGCTGGTTCCCCGCAGCTGTCACCCCTTTTGGTGACAACTGTAGAACGCTTCTCTCACCCGTCATGCTCTTCCCAGGCTCTGTTTGTACAACTCGGAAGAAAACTGGAGTGGGGTATCCACAGCTCAGTGCAGTGATGGAGTGTGCAGATGCTGCTCATGGCCTCAGAGGCCATATCATTTCAGTAAGACATGGGGGCCAGGGAGGGTGTGAGGCTGCCTAGCAGCTGTGTTTTCTGTAGTGTGGAGCTCCAGTAAAGTCCTGGTCTGGAGTTGAATTTGTGTCCATTTTGACATAGAGAGTTGTGAAGTCATGAGAAGTCCATGCTGTCTCTCACAGTGTTTGTTACTTTGTAGGATGGAGGCTGCAGCTGTCCTGGGGATGTGGCAAAGGCTTTTGGTAAGGAGACTGGGAGAGCACAGGAAGAGGATCCTGTAAGTCACCTCCGAGGGTTTAGGGTCAGGCTAGAAGCAGCTCAGGAAGCCATTCAGACTCATAATATGAACTAGTGATCCTGAAGCCTAAGGTGTCACCGGTGACAAGCCAGCAGAGGAAGCCCTGAGTTTTGATTCTCAAGCTTGACAAAGGCCACCTATGTTATCCCCTAGACTGTTAGACAATGTAGATTTCTGAGCCCTACACCCAACCCACAAAATCACCCCAAGAAACCAAACTGCAAATCTTCATTCTGTTTCCCAGGTGATCCTTAAAATTGGAGACCTATCCTCTTAGCACTAAAGCCACACTGAGCCTGGGAACAACAAAATGAAATCACCAGAAGATAGGAATACAGAAACCAGTCAGGGAACTTCTAGGTTTTGGAGCAGAGTAGCCCCAAGGAATTGTGGAAAAGCTGGGAAAACAGACCCAAGATGTCGGTTCGCAGAACTGAGATTAATACAAGCTATGTCTGAAGGTGGCTATATAGGTTCCTTGACCTTTTTTCCAACTCCTTGACTTTGGCAGGGGCAGGGGCTGACTTTGTGATGCTGGGTGGCATGCTGGCTGGGCACAGTGAATCAGGTGGCGAACTCATTGAGAGGGATGGCAAGAAGTACAAGCTCTTCTATGGAATGAGTTCTGAAATGGCCATGAAGAAATATTCAGGAGGTGTGGCTGAGTACAGGTATGTATGGAAGGCTAGCACATGAGTATTCTTGGAGAATGTGACTATGGGATATGGTGTCATGCCTCCTGGGAAATGTAGGGTACCATTCTTGGGAGAAAAATGGTAAAGGGTTACGGGGCAGTGGTGACCAACGCCTTTAATCCCAAACTGGGGAGACAGAGGCAGGTGGATCTCTCTGAGTTCAAGGCTAGCCTGGTCTACTGAGCAAGTTCCAGGACAGCCTCTAAAGCTTCAGAGAAACCCTATCTCGAAATAAATAAATAAACAAACAAATAAATAAAGTATGTATGCAGGAAGAGCCACTGGGCTTAAGGAATTCTTAACAAGTAGGTAATAAAACTTTTTCTTTTCCAAGGGCCTCAGAAGGAAAGATAGTAGAAGTTCCTTTTAAAGGGGATGTGGAACATACTATTCGTGACATCCTAGGAGGCATCCGGTCTACATGCACATATGTAGGGGCTGCTAAGCTGAAGGAATTAAGCCGGAGAACTACCTTTATCCGAGTCACCCAGCAAGTGAATCCAATTTTCAGTGATTCCCGATAAACCTGAGAAGTCTACTTTCCCAAGGCAGCAACTCTACCACAGGGGCCTCTGAAGGGGCTTCTCACCCATCCCAGCTACTGTGGCTGTGTTACTTAATTCAGTTCCTATCATCTCACTGAGTGCTCCTGTAGTCACTTACGCTTTCTGCACATATGAAATGCTAAGGGCACTCACTGGGGGAAGAGGCAAGGAAGACGACGTGAGATCAACAAATGGGAATCTGGGGACAGCATCCTGACGATTAGGAGGAAAAGATGCTGATTGATACATAAATGACAGGCCTTGGTCTGGAAAAAGGCGGCTTTTGGAATCATGTTAATCAGCTTCATTAAATGAGATCATCAAATAATTGAACAGCTTAGAAGTACTTAAATATTTGAAATAACATTAACAAAGACAGATCCTATTGATGGTAAAGAGATGCTTGGCTATCTGCACAGGTTGCATCTAGACACTCCTTCCCTCTTGGGCAGAGATGGGGTTAACCCTGACCCAAGTGGGATCAAGAACAATGAGTTATTCTCATGAACCATCTACATTCTAGAGTCACCAGCCCAAGATAACTTAGTAACATGAACATTTACAAAATATATCCTGGCATTATAATAACACTAATGATTTCCAGACTCTCTCAACCCTGGTAACCCTTCTAGGTAAGTCCCAACGACCCCTTACAAAGGAAATACGGGAAACACTTCAACCAGCTCTAGAGAAGCCAGTTATGTTCCTGAGGAATGACCTACATAGACCTAAGTCTTAATTCTCCTTCTTCCCATCAAGACAATGTAACACACTCAAGTTTTAATTTTCAAGCATTGCAAGGCTTTAGCAATGTAGCCAGGCAACTCAGGTCTGGGTTTCTTCTTCATTCCCACGAAACTACATGCAGAGCTGCAGGGGTAGATGGACAGAATGCAAAGGACATTCCAGAACCATTACAGGACCCTAGAATTGGTTATCTTGCCAGGAAGGAATAGGCAGGACTCAGGCATGTAGTCACAAAACATGGGGATAAAGGTGTCAAACTTTGTCTTCTGATAGTTTTTCAGAGACTCCTACAGAGAAGAAAGCATAGTTCCTATCACTGGAAACCCCTAACATGGATTTCTACCTCGCTCTGCCCATCCTCGTCTCAGCTTCCTGCTTCTTCCTACTCACCTCTCCTTCCTTCTGGTTATTTTCGTCCTCATCAGAGTCCAAAACCAAGTCCCCTATGGTAATGACAGAGCTACACAGTGATGGGAACTGCACTGCAGGAAAGAAACCACAACCATTCCTTTAGGTGAATACAGGCCCTGAAAATTGCCCGGGAAAAGCTGGCCAACAGTCCCAACTCAGCATACTTACCTGGTTTCTTGGCTCTAGGAGGTGATAATGAGAGTCTTAGAGGATCCATGTAGCAATTCATAGAGTTCCTGAGGTGGAAACAAGGGGAAAGATGGGGTGAAGAGGGGAAGGGGGCTAGGAATGTGTTCCTGAGTAAGGAGAAGTGATTCTTACTCCTTTTGCTCTGCAGCATCTGAGTCAGGTGGATCCTCCTCTGGGGCCCTTTTCCCGAGGGTCTGAGGTGGAGTCTTAGACTTTCCTCTGGAGACTGTTTGTGTACCCATAGAGCCTGCTGTGTCCAGTCCATGCTCTTCCCTACTTTTAGGGTTAGATAAATCCTGGGCTGGTAAGTTCATATTCCTAAATGGGAACAGCATGACGGTGGGCCGCTCTTTATGGCATCCCTTCGAAGATGTCCACTGTGATCGGGATTTTCGCTGTCCTAGAGGGGCCAGATTAAAGCGGTTGCCAGCTAGATGTTCTGGGTGTTCTTGTGAAACTGGTCCATGAAGGCCAAGCTTAGCTTTAAGCAGAGGACTGTGGAGTGCTCGTTTTGTTTGCTGACGAGGACTCTGTTCCTTGGGTTCAGGCGGATTCACTGAGCCAGAAGCAGAGCTCTCTGAAAGATAAAATTAGAAGTAGGTTAACACAGTCAGGTTTGTGTCTCAGGTCCACATAATTTCTAATCGGCTGACTCAGGTTTGGTCAAGCTAAATACTAACCTCCAAATTTCTAGTTATCCTGATAGTTCTCTTACCTGGAAATGGCCATCCCATGTCCATACCATACTGGTGCATAGCAACAGAATCGGTGACCAAACAGCCAGGCTGAATCCAATTTAGCACATCCTGAAGCTGTGGGCAAGGGGACAGACATGAGGATCGCAGCTCTCAGTAAGGCCCCCCTTCTGCCCTGAGGTGCTTTATCTCAACAACCTCTTGTGCTTTGACTGCAGGCAGTGCCTTTTCTAGCTGACACAAGTATTCAAATAGCAGCTTTTCCATGGCAACCAGAAAAGGTTCCCCATAGTCTTGTTCGAGTTCCTATATGTGGAAAGAGAAGACGGTCAGATGAGTTTTAGAAAAAACAGGAATCACATAATGTCCTCCAAACCATTCTCACTTGCAGGCTTGAAGCCAAATCCTCAGCCTTCGACAACTGTTTCACAAGCAGGCAAAAATTTTCCCGCGCCTCCAAAATCTTCCTGTCTTGCTTTGTCTGTTGAGGTGATGGAAGACAGAGAAATTAGGGGGAGGGGGGCGTCATCAGGACCCAGGGCAACTTGGCTGCATCGGGCCTCTTGAGCATGGGCTTACTCACGCCTTCAGGAACCAGCGGTACTGGTGTCGACTCCGGGAAATAATGATCCAGGGCGTTCAGGACCTGGGCCCAGGGTCGGTCCTGCAGTATCAACTCCACCACCACCTGCAGGGTACTGAGCTCAGGATTCCCGTACCCACGGGTCTTAATCCCAACCAGTCGGCCTTCCTCAGGTCCTCGAATCCCACCCCTTCAGGTTCTACTCTTTCCAGTACCTTGGCCTTTAGGCCCATACACAGGCGTTCATGGTGTCGATAGCAAACCAAGCCGGGGACGGCAGCGCGCAGGGACTGCAGAAACTCTAACACTTTGGGGAAGTGCTCCACGCGGCGCTGGCGGACAACCAGCCAGCTGGCGGCAGCTACAAACCGCAGGGACGCGGGACCCACCCCGGAAGGTGCAGCCATGGCCCGCGGGCCCCTTTCCTCTACGCCCCTCTGGCCCTGTCCCGGCTTCCCGGCGTCTCGGCAGGCGGAGCTTCGGCTGTCTCGTCTGCACCGGAAGGTCGGCACACTGGCTTGGATCCCTTCGGCAAAGCACCAGAATTCTGGAATCTCCTCCCGGGCGGTGATTAAGTGTACAACCCGAACCAGACCGCTAAACTGGTTAAAACGCCGCCACTTCGCCGAACGCGCGCGTGCGTCACTTCCGACTGAGCGCCGCTTCCCCCGCCTCGGAAGAGCCCCCGGGGAACCTGTGACGTCAGCGAGGTCACCTGACTACAAACGACGGTCGTCGCCCGGCACCGCTCTCCCTCTCCACACTTGAAGCGGGGCCTCTGTAAATCCGGCTGCCTGAACCGGCACCGCGAAGCCTTTCCTGGGCCGCATCGGCTCCCAGGAAGAATTCGGTCGTTCCTCTCGCAAAACAAAAGAGGGCGCTCGCGTTCAACAAAACCAAATACTGGGCTGGAGAATGGCTCCGCCCGCCTCGTGGTTCTCGCTCACGCGCCCCAACTCCCCAGCCGCCAACAAGCAAAACGCAGCGTGAAATACCACACTGCTAGCCAGGGTTTCCCCGGACGGTAGGGTTGCAGCCGCTTTGTGCTTTTCTGTGCCACATCTTGGCTGTTTCGTGTACTTTCGAATATTTAAAGTTAACTTTTCCAAGTTTCTTCGAGCGCTAACTTGATTAAGCCCTGTAGTTAATTGACTGTTTTACTTGTCCGTCTCCTTGCCAAGCACGCTGTGTTCGCTCTTACTTTGTTGATTGAATTCATTACCTGCCCTGTCCACCTTAGAGGCATTTCAGGAAACCTTCCCCGCCATTCTTCGGATGGTTTCTTCCATTCCCCGACTTAAGGCTCACGCGTTGCCTCCATCCTCCAGATCACTGTTCTGAACTTAGCCAGACCTAGTACAAAAGTACTTTGTGTGCATTTGGTGTTTTGCCTGCATGTATGTCTGTGTAAGGGTGATGGATCCCCTGGAACTGGAGTTACAGACAGTTGTGAGCTGCCATGTGAGTGCTGGGAATTGAACCTGGATCTTCGAAAAGAGCAGCCCATTAACTGCTGAGCCATCTCTTCAGCTCTCCTTAATTTCTTTTTTATTTATTTCTATTTTATGTATGTGTTAATTTAATTCTTTACTTCTTGCTTGTCTCAGTACCCGTGTATTTATTTGTTTAGGTTTTCCGAGGCAGGTTTTCTCAGTGTAGCCTTGGCTGTCCTGGAACTCACAGAGATCCACCTGCCTGTCTTCCAAGAGAGCTTGGACTCAAGGCATGTGCCACCACCTGGCTCATCATCATCATCATCATCATTATTATTATTGTCTTTGATTGTGTGTATATGTGCACTTTGAGTATCATTCAGCTCTGTTTGTGTTAGGATTTATTCTGCTTGCTAGTCCGTGTTTTTTGGATCTGTGTTTATATCTATCATTATTTTTAGACAGTTCTAAGTCATTGCTTCAATCATTTCTTCATCATTTATTCTCATTGTGTATATGGGCTACATGAACTTTTTCTGGGGAGATGAAACAACTTCTGTTTATCCCAGGTAGGACAACAATGACAGACCAAAGTAATGATTCTATCCAAGTCTAGTTTGGTGAATCACTGGCTACTTTTACTCACAGGAGTGTAGGTGATCACCAAACAGCACATCATCAAAAAGACTCATCCTGGCATGAGTGACATCTTCTTCACAGCTGTGTAGATAGAAGTCTCTTCTCAGTCAGCCTTCCGTGTTCTGCACTGTCATCTCCAAAGACCACATGCACTGGGGCAGAATTACACACCTTTGGGAGGGGGCACAGGAGAGGCTGGCTGGACTCTCAGGTGAGGGCCTCAGGACTCCTCCAACACTCCATTCCCTGGAGGAATACCAACAGCCATCTTATGGTAAGCCGCCCTGGTTCAAATGGCAATAGCTGAGGATAGCATTTCACAATAGGATGCTATACTTGTGTAGTCTAACACTTCTTGAGTACTGTACCTTTTTCACTTTTGTTTATTGTTTGCATTTCATTTTTGGAAACATTGTAGCTTTTTTTTTTTTAAATTTTCCAGACAGGGTTTCTCTGTAGATCAGGCTGGCTTTGAACTCAGAGATCCACCTGCTTGTGCCTTCCAAGTGCTGGGATTAAAGGCATGCACCACTACTGCTGAGCTAGCAATTTAGCTTTTTAGACATACATATATATATATATATATATATATTTTTTTTTTTTTTTTTTTTTTTTTAATCAAAGTAGCCTCAAACTTGCTGTGTAGCCAAGGATGTCCTTGAACTCTGATCCTGCCCTCTACCTTCCAAGTACTGAGATTACAGGTATCCACCACCAACCACTCTTGACTTGTGTGGTGAGTACTCAACCACCTGAGCTACATCCTGAGCCCTGGTTTTGGTTATTTCCATTGCCGGTTGTCTGTTTCCGCTCAGCCCTGTTCAGTTAGATGAGGAGCCTAGACACTCTTTGTTCCTGTAACAGTGTAACAGTGCTATTTCCTTTTGGTCCTTGAGAATTTCCTCTCTCTGTTCCTATTCCCCACCTGTTCTCCTCTGCATTTTCTATTAAAGTTTGGGTATAATAACTCCATTATATCGGAATTGCACTGCCAATTCCAGCAGTGAGAGAGAGAGAGAGAGAGAGAGAGAGAGTGTGTGTGTGTGTGTGTGTGTGTGTGTGTGTGTGTGTGTTGTTTTTCTTCTAGTATGCCATTTGTAGAACTTCAGATGTGTGGACTAAAGGAAATCAGTCTTTTTTTTTTTCCCCTAAAGATTTTATTTATTTATCATGTATAGCGTTCTGCCTGCGTGTATGCCTGAATGTCAGAAGAGGGCCCCAGATCTCATTACAGATGGTTGTGAGCCACCATGTGGTTGCTGGGAATTGAACTCAGGGCCTCTGGAAAAGCAGTCAGTGCTCCCAACCTCTGAGCCATCTCTCCAGCCCGAGGAAATCAGTCTTCAGTGCAAGACGTTTGTGTTTATTTGGCTAGAAGTTAGGCTGGATTTAGTGTTCACTGTAGCTATAGATGTTATAGACTTAAATTCCTCTAGTATTTTTTATTATCTCTTGTCTTTGTTCTTATTGATTTTTTTTTTCTTTTCAAAGTTTTATTTATTTCTATTTTTTTGGAGGGGTGGTTTGAGACAGGGTTTCTCTGTGGCTTTGGAGGCTGCCCTGGAACTAGCCCTTGTAGACCAAGCTGGCCTTGAACCCACAGAGATCTGCCTGCCTCTGCCTCCAGAGTGCTGGGATTAAAGGTATGTGCCGCCACCACCTGGCTATTTATTTCTATTTTATGTGAGTGTTTTGCCTGCATGTATGTATGTGCATCATGTGTGTGCCTAGTGTCCGTGAAGGCCAGAAGAGGGTGTCTTATTCTTTGGAATTACGGACAGTTGTGAACTGCCATGTGAATGCTGGGAACCAAACCTTGGTCCTCTGCAAGGGCAGTAAATGCTCTTAACTGCTGAAGCACCTGTGGTGGTTTGAAAGAAAATGGCTTCCAAAGGGAGTGGCACTGTTAGGAGGCGTGGCCTTGTTGGAGGAAGTGCATCACTGTAGAAGTGGGCTTTGAGGTCTCTATGCTCATGGTACCACCCAGTGTCTCAGTTGACTTCCTGATGCCTTTGGATCAAGATGTAGGACTCTCAGCCCCAGCACCATGTCTGCCTGCTTGTTGCCATGTTGCTTCATGATGGTAATGGACCTAACCTCTGAAGCTGTAAGCCGCCCAATTAAAAAGAGTTGCCTTGGTCATGGTGTCTCTTCACAGCAAAGGAAACCCAAACTAAAGCCAGGCAGTGGTGGTGCATGCCTTTGATCCCAGTACTCGGGAGGCAGAGGCAGATGGATCTCTGGATCCAGCTTGATCTACAGAGCTAGTTCCAGGACAGTCAGAGCAGTTACACAGAGAAACTCTGTCTTGAAAAAAAAATAATAATAAGATGATGATGATAAAAGAAAGAGTAGACTGCCCCAGATGTATTTCAAATGCCATTTCTCTTCTCTCCTTGCCAAGAAGCCCAGGGGGAATTTCTCTATGGGGAGCAGTCTCCTGCTGCAGTCATCCCAGGGGAGGAAGCAAAGGTTGGTACTTTCTGCACATGCTCAACATTCACACTGGACCAAGGGAAGTCTATCAGTTCCTTGAGCCCGACCTGGGGAAGGCTTTGCCATTCCCATAAATTTGAAGCACTGGGATTCTTGTCATGGCTGTGCTCATATCAAATGATACACATTCACTCAGGACTTTTATCTGCTCCCCATGGGAACTTCTAAGTTGTTTCCATTATGAACTGAAAACCAAGTCATCTTCCCTGTTGGATCTCTTCCTCCTTCTGGGCACCATATTGTATGTATGGCATCTTTCTTCATGTCACTCATAGTGCCTTGAATAACTGGGTGCTTTTCCAAAGAACTGGGTTCATTTCCCAGCACCAACATGGCAGCTCAGCCATTTGTAACCCTCCAGTTCAGGAGATCACAACCCTCTTCTGACCTCTGCCCTTAACTCTGTCCTTCCTCCTCTTCAGATCCAATTCATCACCAACCAGTTCTACTTATACAGCGTCACGCCTTTCCCTGATCCCTTCTGTTTCAGGGTTCAGAATTTCACCCTGAGGGGACTATATTCTCTATATCTGGCCTAACCACTCTTCAGTTCTTTTTCTCCTAGTCTCTTTTCCATGTGGGTTTCATCAGAATCTGGTGAGCTGATCATAATACTTATCTGAACAGCCCCCTTTAGATGGACGAGAGCCCAGCCAAGCATGGTGGTCTGTAATGCCAGTGCTTTTGAGTTTCAGGGCAGCCAGAGTAACATGAGATCCCATCTCAAAACGTTAAAAAAAAAAAAAAAGTGCTAAAATACAGCAAGGAAAATTTTGCAGTACTGGAAGAATGGATGAACAGCCTCATGATGCATGCTCAACAAATGTGCTACTACGAGATACCCAGAGTCCGGGAAAAGGACTATGAGTGACCTTGCCCAGTCTGTCTTCAAGCTCATCCCTTACCTGTGTGGTTATCATGTGCCTACATGACAATATTCACCACAGTGCAGTTTCTAAATTTACTGTGTCCTCGTATCTCTTTTTGTTTGTTTGTTTTGTTTTTCAAGACAGGGTTTCTCTGGGCTTTGGAGCCTGTCCTGGAACTTGATCTCTAGACCAGGCTGGCCTGGAACTCACAGAGAGCTGCCTGCCTGCCTCTGTCTCCCCAGTGCTGGAATTAAAGGTACGTGCTACCACTGCCCAGCATTCTCACATTTCTTTAAACATGCTGGATGATGCCTTTGTCCTTTGCTTCTGGTAGTTGTCCCCTCCCCCTTTTATGGCATTGGAGTTCAACCCAGGATGGCACATACATCAGGAAGTACTCTGTCATTTTGATATACCTCTGGCCTGTTCTGATAACTGCCTCTATGTAGCCTTCTGGTTAACCCAGGAAGATTGAGAATTTTCTAGGCTGCTCAGCATCCTGTGCATTCTTTTATCACCATGGCCAGATCAGTTCTTGTCATGCAGAGCTCTTTTCATGAAGTTGGTGTGCCAGCTTCATAATGAATACAGTGCTCAGGTTAGAGCCTAGCTTATAGCAGGAGAACTGCTTGAGTGCACATACACTCACAAGATTGAGTCATCCTTCCGTGCTCTAGTCTTAGTAGTTGGGGGCTGGAGAGATTGCTCAATGATTAAGAGCATTTAAAGCTTGGACTATGATGGATAGATTGGGAAAGGAGAATTTGCTAACAAGCCAACCATACAAAGAATGCAGAGGCCTCAGTTTTGGTTCACAGCACCTACATGGTGGCTCACAACCATCTGTAACTCCAGTTCCAGGGGACCCAATGCCTCTTCTGATCTCTAGGGGCACCGGGCATATGCACACATGGTACACATACATACATGCAGGCAAAAATTCACATACATAAAATAATCTAAAAAATAATCTCAGTATATGTACATAACTATTCATCATCCCATGTACTTCGTTATTTATTTTTTGAGATAGTGTCTCTAGGTAGTCTGCCTGGGCTGGAACTTGCTATGTATCCCAGACTGGCCTTAAACTTGAAATCTTCCTGCCTCTGCTGGCCCCTTGATAGGATTACAGGTATGTGATACTATCCCACCCAGTCTTCTGAATACTTCCATTTCCTTTACACTTATTTATTTGTGAGTGTGTGTGAGGTCATATGCATACTATAGCAATTGCATGGATGTCAGAGGACAGTTTGCTGGTTTCAGCTCTCTTCTTCCATCACGAGAAGGTCTAGGGAGTCAAACTCAGTTGTCAGGCTTGACAGCAAGTGCTTTACTCACTGAACCATCTAGGCATGGTGGTGCACACCTTTAATCCCAGCACTCTGTGAGTTTGGGGCCAACCTGGTCTACAGAGCAAGTTCCAGGACAGCCAGAACGTTATATAGAGAATTCCTGTCTTGGAAAAACAAAACAAAAACATACATCACTATGTAGTCCTGCTGGGCTGGCCTCTTACTTAGAGATTTGGGGTGCTGGGGTTAAAGGAATGGGCCATCACACCTAGCTATGTCATCTACTTTTAAAGTCTTATGAAAACGGCTAATTTAGAGTCAGCTTAGATCTCAAAGCTGGAACAAATGGCTGAGGTACCTATTTAACTTATCAAAGTGGACCTGACCACTAGGTGATCCCAGCATCCCTGGGCCCCTACCTGTTACAGGGTTTGGTATAACCCACCCCTTACCCTGCACTCTCCAGCCCTTCTTACCCTTACCCTCCTGGCCTCTCCCCTCTCCCATACTCCCTCTCCTCACAAGGCTTGGCTCAGGGTCACATTCACTCTGGACTCTTCCAGATGTCCCTGCCCTGACTGCTCTCCCTCATATCTACAGAAAAGTTTTCCTTTCACAGCACCTAAGAGGAGTCATGTCCTCCTTTTTAATTTCTTTTTTTCCATCCACTTACAAATTGAAACAATATGAAAAGCCTGGTGCCATGAGTATATAAGATTCAATAAAAGACACCTGGGGGCTGGAGAGATGGTTCAGTGGTTGAGAACACCTATTGCTTTAGCAGAGGACCAATGTTTAGTTATCAGCACCACATGGTGATTCATAGCCAGCACAACTCCAGTGCTAGGACATGGGATGACCCTCTTCTGACCTCCACAGGCACCAGGCACACAAATGGTGCACATACATACGTGCAGAAAGCACATACACATACATACAATAAAGCTAGAAGAAGACAAAATTAAGACATTTGAGCCAGGTATGTGAACTTTTTTTTTTTTTTTTTTTTTTTTTTTGGTGGTGCTGGTGGTAGGGGATGTTTCAAGACAGGGTTTCTCTATGTAGCAGCCCTGGGTGTCTTGGAACTCACCCTAAAGACCAGGCTGGCCTCAAACTCACAGAGAACCACCTGCTCCTGCCTCCTGAGGGCTGGGATTAAAGGTGTGCGCCACCACTGTCTGGTGAGCTATTAATATAGCACAGTTGGGGATCTGGGGCAGGAGGATTGCAAGTTTGAGGCTTGAACTATGATGGGCAGATTGGGAAAAGAGTATTTGCTAACAAACCAATCATACAATGAATCAGATGTATACTGTAAAAAAGGGGGAATTGGATACAGAGTGTATGTGTTGTAATTTTAAAATGGGTGCTAAGGGGAGTCCCACCAATATGGAGACAGTTAAGCAAGATTAAAGAGATGAAGAAGCAAACCACTGAGGTATCTGGGAAAGGGCTTCTCAGGTAAAGGATGAAATCACACAAGAGTCCCTGAAACAGAGACACAACCAAGAACTCCAATAGATGAAGGCCAGACAAGGACTGAGACTAAGTGACAAGTCCGAGGAGCTGGGCTTTGGGTGGAGATGGGTTTTGAAGAGAGGGTTGATGTGATCATTCTGAGGGTTGATGTGATCATTCTGGCAGAGACTGAGTGATGAGTAAAGAAAGGGCAATGGGGAGATAGCCAGGAAGCTCAGTGCAGTGATCCAGGTAAGGGATGAAGGAGTCTGTGGTGGGTATGGCTACAGAAGCAGTGGGGACCAGCTTCTGCCCCGTGAAAGAACCATCAGGTTTGCCCACAGACTGGTTGTGAGCTGCAGATGGAAAGAATCAAGAGCAGCTTCAAGACTCCAAGTGCAAGATTGGGAAAAGCAGAGCTTCATTCACCAAGGCAGGAGGGGCTGCTGGAGGACATATCCGAGGAGGGTTAGAGGCGAAGAAGCCAGGAGATAAGCAAGTATGAGAGCTGGTGGTCCTTAAAATCAGAATGGCTAAGATTGTGTAGGAAAGTATAGCTGGACGGGAAATGACGCTTCAGGGAAGCCTGGAGTTGCTTACCCAAAACCCCATGGCTGAGTAGGAGGAGGCTGCAGTCACTGAGACTCAGGAGAACCTGAATAGCTTGGGAGCAAGATTATCATCTTTTTGTCTTCTTTTTTGGTTTGGTTTGGTTTGTTTGTTTGTTTTTGAGACAGAGTTTCACTATGTATCTCCTGCTGCTCTGCAGCTTACTGTGTAGATCAGGCTGGCCGCAGAAATCTATCTGCCTTTGTCTCCTGGAGTACTGGGATTAAAGGCGTGTGACATCATGCCTGGATGCTTGCTTGCTTTTTTGAGGTAGGTAGGGTCTTGATGTGTAGCCTAAACTCACGATTCTTCTGCCTTTTGAATTCTGCCAGGTGGTGCATATGTAGAGCACAACCTGTGGGATTTGGAATGGACTCTCTCCTTCTACCACCTGGGTTCTGGGATGGAATTTAGGTCATCAATCTTGGTAACATCATTTTCACCTGTGGACCCATCTTGCTGGTCCTATTATTTCTGTTAATTTTCAACAATGAACATAACTACTTCTATAAAAATTCTTCAAGATGTTTTTCTAGTACAGGGGCTTTAAGCATACCAGACAAATACTCTGCCCATCTTCCTGAGCTATATTCCCAGTGGTCTTTTCACACTTGATTTTGACACAGGGGCTCCCTAAGTTACCTAGGCTGACCTTGAACTCAGGCTGTAACTCAGGCAGGTCTTCAACTTTGGCTCCTCCTAGTTCCTAAGCAACAGGGATCACAAACCTGTGCTATCAGGCCCAATTAATTCAAGAAATTTAAAAATATATTTTGGGCTAGGTATAGTAGCCATGAAACTAAGCAAGCTTTATCTCATAGGTGACTGAGATGGCACTATTACCTTCCAGTCACAGTTCTCAGAACCAGGTCCTTCAAGAAGTGTCACATAAATTTCCAGCACAGTGTGACTCCTTACTTCTTGGCCTAGATTGACAGGTATACTAAAAAGCATCTTCATTAAAAAAAAAAAAACAAAACAGTTTATTATCAGCAAAGGTGAAGATCGACTGCCTCCCCAGGTGCCCCAGCCTTCCTGCCTGGGCTGGGGAGCTACTTTGTGGTGGCCCCCATGTTGGGGCAATGTCCTTGCTCATCTGATTCCAGTCCCATTGCTCTTGGCTCAGGGCTAAGCTCCACCTCGAGATGCCATAGGTATGCTTTCCTCTAAGCGACTGTCACCTCCAGCATCTGAGAAAACTCCACCTCCAGAGGCTGGGGCCACATCCACTTGGATGACACCATGTACTTGGGAGAGCTGTGGGCTGTCCAGGCTGGCAATGAGCTGTCGGGGGCCTGGTCGCACAGGCACAAATGTCTGGCGCAGTGTGACGGTCTCATTACCCCCGATGTCCCTGTAGACAGAGACAGTACTGATGAGCCTTGAGTAACTAAGGGTAAAGTCAAGAACAAAGACTGACCAGAGTGGCCAGGAAGAAAAGAGCAAGAGGTGGAGCCAACCAGGCATTTCTGGGTTCACCTGGAATCTACACCCACAACCTGGACAGAGCCTCCGCCCCAGGCCGCCTCCACACCCAGCTGCCTGCACTACAATCTCCCCAACACCTGGCCTCCTTCATTCCTGCTCCCACCTGGACAGAGACTGCTGAGTGATCCACAGTATCCACTGGCAGCAGCCCCATGCTCCTGATCTAAGCCACCCCATCTCACCAGGGTTTCAAGGCCAAGGGCACTTTAGAGCAAGACCTGGAGACCCAGCAGGGATCCCAGATGCTTTCAGTCTTGCCAGAACAGCAAGCTAAGGAAATGGGCCACAGTTGTCTTCACAAAGAAGGAACAGCTTAACAGCTTCATGTACCAAATCAACAGAAGGATGTTGTTATCCAGGGAAAAGGCTGTCCCAAGCATGGACAATTGAGGTTTTTGTTTATTTGTTTTTGTTATTTTTGGTTTGGTTTTTCAAGACAGGGTTTTTCTGTGTAGCTCTGGCTGTCCTGGGAACTCGCTCTGTAGACCAGCTAGCCTTGAACTCATGAAGATCAACCCTTGAGGGATGTAGTTCACTTCCCAGTGATTAGCAGACCTCTGCTTCCTGGGTGCTAGGATTAAAAGTGTGTGCCACTACGCCTGGTGATAACTGACATTTTAAAACTGGTGTGTGTGTGTGTGTGTGTGTGTGTGTGACAGAGAGAGAGAGAGAGAGAGAGAGAGAGAGAGAGAGAGAAAGAGAGAGCTCTCCTTAGGGAACTCTGAAAATATATTCCCAGACACCTCTGGAAATCAGGATTTCACTGGCCATCTCACCTTTCCTTTAGTCTGCTAATCACTGGGGAGTGAACTACATCCCTCAAGGGTTGGGCTTCCTAGGTGCTTACTGAAAGAGAAGTCAACTCCCTTAACCTGACATGCAGGCTCATTCTGACTCAGCCCCCACCCGGCACAGCTGCATCACCCCCACCATTCTTCTCTGGACCAGCCCCATAGAATATCTGTTCTTGCCCAAGAACCCACTGCCACTATGGTCTGCAGGGTTGATGGTGCCTGCCCTGAGCTCCTAGCCAACCCCATCCCTACTCTTTCTCCAAGTCCAAGCTCATACCATTGCCTCAGCAAAGGCCCCCTGAGGCCCTCCTGTCCCCAGGAAAATTAACCTTTTCTTTTTTTCTGGGCTCTTCAACCTACTACTTTATTCTTTTACTTATAGGATTTTTTAGAAAGGGTCTCATGTAGTCCAGACTAGTCTCAAATTCATTATATGGCCGAATCTGGCCTTGAATTTTTAACCCTTGAGTCTCTGCATCTCAAGTACTACAATTACAGGTATTTACCATCCCACCTGACACACTGCATTTTAAATATGGACATGGTTCATTTATATGAAGTCAGTTCATGACTTTTAGAACATCTCCTGATTCTTCCTAAGTCTGTACTTCTGATTTCCAGTCCAACCCATGCCTGCCTTAGGGTCCCCTTCTGAAAATGAGAGTTCCTCTGGGTGAAGCACTTAGCTTGGAGGCTGCTTCTGAGGTTTTCCAGGACCAGTATGGTTTAAGGCAAAATACTTCTGTGGTCCTCACTTGCTGGTTCATAAGAAAGAATGAGTGCAAAGTAAAACGAGGTGGATGGATGTCATGATAGAAAGTAAATTAAATCTATAATTCAACAGGTTATGCTTTGACTGGCTATACAGTTGTGTTCTTTTTTCCCACTTCTCTATTGATGGAAAGTTAAGGGTTTCTTAGCCTTACAATAGCCTTCAAAAGTCTATTTTAATAGAGTTGTAGTGTTTCAGTAGTTAACCTTTAGATTACAGTCACTAACACTACCCCCCCAATAAAAATCCAGCTTCCAGTTTCCAGGTAGGAATGTCAGAATCTTCCCTAGACTTGTTCTTATAGCCCAGGTGAGGGAGGCCCTTGCCACACCCCATTCTTGAGTTTAAGCTGAGAGCAAGTCAGCTGCAAAAGCTGGGATGTCCCTTAATTGCTGGTTGGTAATGAAACTCTTCTCGGCAGTAGACATCTCAGATCGCTCTCCTCCTCCATCCCCCTCCATCCCTTACAGGCAGGTGCACGTGCCTATGTCTCCCTTGTGGTATGCATCATTTCTACATAATATAGAATGATTGTCCACCTGTTTGTTTTCCTTGGTAATTGATTTTAACTCTAAATTGCTTCAGCCTTTTCCCTAAAGTCAAACCTACTCTTCAAGAATGGACACCATTCTCAATTTCTGAGATGGTTTTTCCAGAGGTCCTGAGTTCAATTCCCAGTACCCACATGGTGGCTCAACCATCTGTAAGGAGATCTGGTGCTGTCTTCTAACTTGCATGGATACATGCAGGCAGAACACTATATACATTAAAAAAAAAATTGACATCAGCCACTAAAGGTTCAGAGAGTATGATTCCGGTTCTGGGGGAAATTCCCAAGAAGTTCCAGCCTCTGTGGTGACGCAGTCAACTGGAGGAGTGAGTCCTGGAATGTTTATTAGGTGGCCAGTCACCAAACTGGGGTGGCACACCTTGTGGTATAATTGGGCTCCATACCACAGCCTTTGATGTGTAAATGAGAGGCAAAGTAATACCCATCTTGGAATCTGATATGTCCCCTCGAGGCTACCATGTGTCCTGAAGGCTCTCTGCTCTAGGATCATAGCAACCAAGATGCAGCAGAGTGTCCAAGGAAGGCCTGTCAGATCAGACATCACCCAGGTCTTACAGAGGAGACCTTGATTAAGACAGTGGGATGGGTTGAGATTGCCAGGATGGTATCATGCAAGCCCTGTACACAAGAAAGAGGCCAGCTCTCCTAGCACCTAGCACTGTGAACCTGTCCCTCTAGTGGGAGCAGCTCAAGAGTCAAGGGCCTGGTGAGCCTGGCAAGGGTGTATGCCTCTAGGAGCCTAAGACAAGAGACCCCTTCCTTTGTGATGTGAATGCAGCTGAGTGATGTCTTAGACCCTGTCATCTGAGGTGCTGAGGACCCTTGTGGGGTCTGCTTTGTGCTATCAAAGCCTCTGAGTCCCATGCTAGGCCAAGAACAAGACCATAAGCTCATCTTTGGCCTGATAACAAAAATTGTAGCTACCAGCATAGGTATGAGGGGAAAGGCAGGCTAGGTGGACCCTCTACCCACAGCCTCTCTCTTAGAACAGGACACCCACTTCTGTCAGGAGAAAGCTGGTTTTAGAAGGTCCTCTGCCTTCTCCTTCCCTCCATGCTTTTCCTGGGAGGGATGGGCAACAAGTGTCTGTGCCAGCTGACAGCAACAGGCACAGGAACATGACATGAGTGCTATGTGCCCTCCCTGGGCCCAGTGCCTCGCCCAATGGCGATCAGATCAAGCTGGCTGAGGGCCTGAGAGTCAGGGCTCACTTCTCTCTGAGAGATGCTCCTCCATTCTCATGGCACAGACCATGCAGCAGGCCAAGCATCTGGGCGGTTTGTGCCACGGCAGGGGAAACAGAGCCTGCCCTTATGAGCTATGAGAAGAGGCTTCCCCATTCATAAGGTGGGACAATGACAGCAACAATTAAAAACTAACCAGTACTGGAGACTGACTTCCCACATGCTGGACTAAATAGCCCAGTGGCTTTGTTATCTTCACCGCTGTGAGCCCACAGCTTAGATGAATGAAAGCACCTGGCCAAGGAAACCTAGTCAGGAGCAGTGGGGCAGGGGCTTGAACTAACTCTTTAGAGTTCCCAACTCTCCTTTAATTATATGATGGTCTCTAATGTACTTTAAAGGGCCTGCATGATCTCCAAATGAGATAATATTCCTGAAAGTGCATGGTCAACACTTCCATATTTGGCGAATGTTAGGGATGGGCTGCTAATGATCCCATGTGAGCTTCAGCTCCCTAATTAGAAGGTGAGGCAGGCAGGGACAGTGCAGCGGCAGGCACGCAGCAAGGCTTGCGCACTGGGCTGAGCTGGCCTGGGTTGCCAGAGGTTGCCAGCTGGCCCCAAGCTGCTCTGTGGGGTCCTGACCAAAAAGAGGAGCAAAACTTAGGCTCAGGGCTGCTTGGAAGAAGGAAGGGTGGCAACAGAGTTAGAGAAGTCAGACTCACCCAACGTTGAGAACCTTGGGTCTCTGTAACCCAGAACCTTCGAGCCGGAAGACGACGTTGGTGAGGGTGATGGGCAGGGGGTTCTTGAACACAATCTGTACTTCACATTCCTGGCCAACTACTGCTGCTCCCAGCAACTGAGGGAAACAATGATCGGACCCTTATCAGAGACCCTGGCCAGACATGTAGGGCCCATACTTTGCATCCAAAGGAAAAACAGAATTGAAATCTTGCCAAGACCCACATTTCTGTTCCTGAGGGAAACCACCTCAAAAATCAGGGAGGAAAACTCTACATTCTACAACTTTAGGCAGCTACAGAATTAGGCCTGAGAACCCATTTTACAGATGAGGAGACTAAGGCCAGGTCTTAGTCTCCTAGAAGGCTCTTCAGGGCAACTTGCTTCAAGTTTAGTGTCCTCCCCTTGTTCATGACTTTCCTTAGCCTCAGGCTCTTGATCCCTATTCACCCCTGGGTATCAGAAAGTCACACTCACCGTAAGAGAGAGGTCTGGGGTACGCAAACGGAAGGTGTGCTGCTTAGCTAGTACCTGCCCACTCTCCTTGACATGGCCTGAGACATTGAGCAACATTGCCCCCTGGTCCACAAGGTGGGGCTTGTATTCCTTGTAGGTCACAGGCATGGTCACAGAGTCGGCTGGGAAGAAAATGCATAGCAATCACAGGCTATCTTCCCCAGTTGTACCCTTCCCAGATGTGTTCCCTGTTGTCATAGGACCTCTGTGTCCAAAGCTAGGTGCTTGGACACCTAGGGGCAGGACTAAGGATGGAGCATCATCAAGGGCCAGGGAGAGAGCACCACTTGGGAGTCAGGACTGGAGAGAAAGCATTATCCGGGAGAGGACTGGGAAGAAAGCACTATCCGGGAGGCACAGATGGGAAGGGAGTGCCGTCCAGGGGCAGGGCTGGGGAGGGAGCACTATCTAAAAGGCAGAGATGCAGGACTAGAGAAGGAACACTTACAGGCTCCTGGGGCTAGTGCCACTTCCTTCTTGGTCTCCTTGAAGGTAGGCCCAGTGACACCCGTGTAGTAGGTGACAGAGAGGTAGAGGTGCAGCTTTACGGTGCGGCGGCTACTGCCCCGATTCATCAACACAACGCAGACGGCCAGATCCTGACCCATCACAGCGTCCTGGGCTTCCACCTGCATGGCCACATCTTCAGCAGAGTCCCGGGTGGCATACACATTGGGTTTGCTGCCATGAGCAGCAGCCTTCTCCACAGCCTTCCGCTCTGCTTCTGAGCCTGGGGGTTGAGGTGAAAGGTGAGTTGAAGGTATTGCTGGGGCAGGTCAAGGCTCTGTAGGAGCCCTCAGCCCGGAGCTGGCTGGGCTGGGAGAATGCTACCTTCTGGGTGCTTATAGATGTGGGTGATGTCCTCGCGCATGTTGGAGCTGATTGCCTTTGTGACAATGAGTGTGCCAATGGCTTTTTCCTCCACATACACAATCTTGAAGCTGCCATCATCCTGTCGCTGCCAGTAGACCTTATCACTGTTCACCTGTGGGAGAGCAAAGAATAGCAGGACTGAGTGGGCCAGAAAGACAGGCTTGACCCCCAGGCCCTCTTCCCTCAACCCAGGAGCTGCAGGCAGGGCCCAACTAGGAGAGTTTCCAAACTGAACTAGCCATAGTCAGAGAGCAGGGAGCAAGCTGGTCTAGGAGGCTCCTTGTAGCCCATTTTGGCATTAATAACAGTTTTCCCTTATGTTTTACAACTTATGAAGCAGCCCCATATCCATTATCTCTTTTGATCCTGAGTACAGGAAGCAAGGCAGCCACTATTATCTTCTTTTTACAGTTGAGGAAACTAAGACTCTAGAATGAGTGACTTGCCCAAGGTTACACAGCTAGACAGTCAGCGGTGAAGTCAGGACCAGAAGACGCAGGACAGAAGAAGCCAGGGCTCTGGTCTCTGGAGGAGGCACCTGGAGCCCAGCCTCACCTCAGCAAAAATGAAGGGCGTGTCATACTTCATGTAGACTAAGCCATTCTTGATGGACTCCACAGAGCAGGGACCACAGCAGAAGATGCCTGGGAAGTGAGGCAGGTGAAGGGTCTAAGGAGGCCCAGAAGAGGGGGTAGGAGTGGGAGGAGCCAGTAGACAGCCTGGCTAACAGCTAGACACAGCAAACCAAGCTGTCAGCATGCTTTGCACTGGCTGGCTGCTCTGTCCACCCATAATTCTCAGAATTCAGGACCTCCTCCCCTAGTTTTCCATCACAATCAGTTTGGGGCCCATAATGGCTCTGGTTGGCTCAGGGAGCAGTATGCAACCATCACTATTTCAGAAGCACCTTGGCTGTGCAGGACACTCTGACCTCACTGGGAAGTGAGAAGGACGGTGGGGAAGAAGAGACTGCCCTTATTGTACTCAGGAGGGTTCAGAGAGGGGAAGAGTTGGCTGTAATAGGCTGGTTGGGACCTTAAAGTGTAAACAGGAAGTGAGGGCTACCCAACAGGAAAGAATCTTAACACCTAACGCTCTGGCCTCCCTTTTCAGACAAGGGAAACAGGCTCAGGCAGTGAGGTAGCTGCTAGCATCTTATAAGACAGCTGGAAAAACCTTCTATTCCCTGAGCAGCTGTAATGTTGTAGTCCTCTGATACATGGTATCTACTTAATCCTCCCAACCACACCATATGGCACACACACAGTACTGTATATAACAACACAGCACACCAAGGTGTGCTTGCCAATATCACTCATCTAAGAAATAACTGTGCTAGACTTATGTCCTGGCCATCTACCTGGAGCCCCTGCCTGACACCTACCCCATTACTTCTTAGAGCTGAACCAGAGATCAAGTCTCCTAGTACACTGCAAACATTGCTGGGTTCTGCAACCCAGGACCCCTTTTACATAGATGATTGCCAGGGAGTAGTATGGGAAGTGGTCAGGAGAAGAATGTCTACTGTAGGAAGGTGGACGTGGACCCAAAGCTAGAGGGAAAGGGTGCTGTGTGAGAGCAGAGAGGACATCAGGGGTCACTTCTATGGAGAAGTATATGTAGACATAGAGAAGAGATAAGCAGCTGACAGGTTGTGTCACCCCGGGACATGTCTTAGGGCAGGGATATAGAGCTATCTCCTTTGAACCTGTCTGAGCTCTGAATTCTGTATACTGTACATGAATGCACTGAACAGGGGAACAAAAGGAGAACTAGGGTTCATTCTTCTGGAGATCCAAAGTCATTCTATCTCTAAGAGTCACCATTTACTACGTGTCTCATTGGCACAGAATTGGTCCCAGATAGTCTTAAGAATTACCAAGGGAATTTTTGAACTCGAGATTGAAAAACTCAGGGTGGTGTAATGACATCTTGTCTTGGTCTGGCGAACTCATTTAAACCTCTGCCTTCAGTGTGGAGCTCAGGAGACTTCCTGAGCATGCTAAAGGCCCCAGGTTCAAAACTAGGGCAGGCAAGAAATAGACACACCCATCCTTGGAAATTCTGATAGATCAGTTTTGATGATCAGGTTTTGGGGTGGGAACCCCCAAAATATAAATTTACTTTAAAAACACCTAATAGCTGGACATTGGTGACATATGCCTTTAATCCCAGCACTGGGGAGGCAGGGCATGTGGATTTCTGTGAGTTTGAGTCCAGCCTGGTCTACAGAGCTAGTTCCAGGACAGGCTCCAAAGCTACACAGAGAAACTCTGTCTCAAAACAACAACAACAAAAAATCTAATAGAAAATAAATAACTTTTACATCTTATGTTATTCAATTCTATACTGTCTTCTCCTTCTATGTACATATTTATTACTTACTTATAACCTTTTCTTCTTGTGTATGTGTGTGTGCATGCTGGGAATTGAACCCAAATCTAATTATGATTTTTCAGACATATACATAAGTATATGCCCTTTAATTAATTATTCTAGAATATATAAGTTAAAAAGCAAGTAAGAATAATTGGCTTTTCAGGGGAATACTGAATATTCTTGAATCTTTTTAAACTTTTGATATATCTGAGTATATTAATCATTATAAATTATAAAATAAAATTAACTTTAAGAATTAAGTCATGTAGCTATATAAAGAGAGGGAAACAAACTAATGGCTGCAAGGTGGTTCATTTGATAAGCTCATGGGGAGAACTGGAGGGTTGAAGGTCTTGGCTCTCCTGCCAAGTCCTGGGATAACACTCAGGAGTTTGAGGAGCTGTCAGGATAGGGTCCAGGCAAGGACTGCCTTACCACTGCTGGTCTCCTGGGGTGTGGCATCCACAACTTGCCACCCATCAAAGCCTGAGGGCAGATCTGGCCTCTTCATCCAGCAGTCATTCCACACATGGAAGTTCCTACAGGGGCATGGAGGGAGCTCTAGGCCTGAGGTTCCCATTCAGGTCCTCCCCAGTTCCCATCCCTACCACAGTGCAGCATCCAAGCCTCAGGTGATCTTTAGGACCAATGGCGGGCCACCCTGGGCTCACCAAACAGAATCATGATTCAGATGCTCAAGTGGCTTCATGTTCTCGTCAAAGTAGATATCCATAGTAAGGGATGTATCTGTGTCATGTGCAGAGTTGAAGTTGGTGACAGTACGAGTAGCAAGGCCCAGGCATCGCAGCACTGTGGGAGAGCCAGGGTTAAGGGCTGGGGCAGAGCTGGCCACAGGCAGCTGAGTTTGCCAAGCTTCAAGGGACCACCATAGTTAGGGCTCAGACTTTGGGTTGCAAAGCAGCTTGGGTTACAAAGGCACCTGCTTGGCTTAGGCCCTGACTATTGCTTCTTCTTTCTCTCCCTTAGGCCTCTCTCAGTGGTTAACACTAATTAATAATAATTAAGGCTATTCTATCATCCACCCTTAGTGGCACCCTATCCTGTAGCCACAGCTGGGCTGGGCAGAAATGGAACCCTTCCCTCCTTACACCCATTCCCTCTACTACCTGTGGTGGTAACACCAGCAAAGACCCAGCATTGGCCATAGGGGACAGAATAGCCAGTGCGTAGGTAGCTAAGCAGGATCTCCACGCTGCCCACCCATGCTGAGGGGTTGGTGCCTCGAGAGTAATCGCCAGTCCAGTTCCCAATCAGTACTCCATTGTCATCCAGGGAGTTCACCTGCCCAGGGAAAGATAGGGTGTGGCTGGATTTGGGGAGGTGCTCAGGATCTTCTGGATTCCCTAACCCCTAACCCTGCAACCTCAAGAACTAGACGTCAACCTAAGCCCCACCCTCCCTCCCCCAACACACCTGCCCCCCACACCCCTTGCTGTAACACTGGAATGTGAACAGTGGGTGTGCCAAGCTTGGGGTTTGGCCCCACATTCCAAAGGAGCTGGAACAAGAAGCATGAAAGGTGGGGTGGGTACAGGCAGGAGAGGGAAGAAGAGAATAAAACCCCTTTCCCTTAATACCCTCTTCAGGGACAGGGGTGGGAAACCCAGAAAGGAAGGGCAGGGCAGGAAGACAGATACAAGGGTGCTCACCATGGCTGAGATGACCCGGCAGACACTGACTGGGTCCCCACGGCCTCCATATGGCATCCCTCTCCGATCCAGGATGTACAAACAGGCATCCAGCACCCCATGATCAAACTGGAAGGAAGGAAGGCAGAGGTGACCATAGTTCCTCAAAGTAATGCTCAAACCATAGCATCCAGCTCAGTCCCCCGCTTCCATTGAGTATACAAGACCCAGCCCAGCCATACCTGGCCATAATTCCAGGTCCGTTCACCAATCTGTGCTTCAGTTCCATAGTAGATTCTTCCAGACTCATTAAGCACATATTCTTGCCTCCAGTCCTCATGGTCCACATACACTAAGTCCTCTGTATCCCCAAAAAAGCACATAGCAAATTCTATCCATTTTCTTCCTGGGCCCTACCTTCCCCTTAGCCAGGTCTGCAGAGCTCATATCCACAGGGGGAAGTTGGGGGGGGGTCTCTTCTAGCCTGACAGGACTTCTGACTCTAAGGAAGGATGCTGAGAAAGAAGATTGGCTGTGGCCAGGGTCCTTCATCGGAAGAAGTAAGGTCTTTTTTACAGTGGGTCTCCATCTCCTCCCCTGGACAATGAGGGGGTGGTGTGTCTTTGCCTACGACCAGATGTTCAGGCACCCACCTGGATCCTAGGAAAGGAAGCCCTAACCTACTTGCTCTCTGCTCTTGACCCCAGCTGGTTTACCTGGGCACCAGGGGTTGAAGAGGATGTAGATCTCATTGCGGGGGTCAAAGGGCAACTGGAACTCCCCAGCCTCAGAGCGTGTGCGGACAGTAAGTTGAAATTTGCCAATGATGGCATTAGGGGAGGTATGGACGCGTAGGTTTAGGTTGTGTCCACTGGCCTTGGTCACTTGGGCCTTCCAGCCATCGCTGCCCCCTTTGCCCACTGGGATGATCACGTGGGTACCTTTGCCCACCTCAGGATTGTTTCCTAGATTAACAAGATCAGCATTTAGGCAGAGAGAGAGAGACACTTCGTTCAGCCCCACCCAAAATGTCTATGAGCCAATTTGTATGTCCCTAAGTAGGGTTACCACATCAGTCTGTGACAATCTCCTCAGAGCAGCAATGGTGGCCGCCCCATGCTCTCCTGCGTGTCAGGGCAGAGCCCCAATCTGACATCCCAAACCTGTTCCCCTGACAATGAACTCAAGTAGGGAGGGGATACTGGGGCCACTGTCACCCTCTGACTTCCTCACTGTCTCACTGGACTAAGGGAAAATTAAGTTGAGTCCATTTGCCCCATAGGAACGCTCCAGATACCAAAGGGCTGTGGCCTGCTCCCTGGGGTCACAGCTTCTAGAGCCCAGAGCATTTCTGGAGGTGGTGGGGGTACCTGGGAAATTAGAGGCTGGGGTGTGCATGGCTGGGCTGTAATCAAAGGGTAAGGAGAGTCGCCCGCCCCCAGCAGCTACATAATCACCAGCCTCAGCGGTCAATTGTCACCAAGCGACATGGGGAGGGAGGCACCTGCTTTGGGCCATGGCATGGAGAGGCAAAGAGACAGACACATGGGGGCTAGGGCAAGGAACAAGCAAGCCTCAGGAAGAAGGGCACACAGGGTCTAGCCCGAAGAGGAAGTGCTGTGAGGTAGATGCCCCTGGAGGCTTGGGGAAAGCCAGCTGGGGGGACTGTAGCACCAAGTCCTCCCTGAGAGCACCACTGGGGAACACTGAGAATCTTGCACCTGCCTCTTTTGGCAGAGGTGAGGAGTGCCAGGGAGGAGCCTAAAGACCTCTCTAACCTAACAGTAGCCCTTCCTCTAACAAGCCCAGGAAGCCCAGGGCCTTTACCCTTCTCCTTCCCCCCACACACCGATAAGAAGTTCAAGGGCAATGCGATCAGAGGACTCATATTCCCGGTTCAGGACGAGAACCATGTGGAAAGGCTGCCCACGGCGCAGGATCAGTTCATCGTACTCAAACTCATCTGTGTGGTGCTCTCGTCGGTTCTGGTCCGAGCGTGAGCACAGCAGATCCACGCCAGTCACAACCAGCATCCCCTCTGTAAGGCCATATTCCTGGGTCAGTGAAGAGTCCACAAGGAGCCTAGACCTCCCGCAGAAGCCTTTAACCCCCCTCCACCCCTGCTGCTGCCCCGAGATGCCAGGATAAATCTTAGGACCCATTAAGGTTGTTCACCTCCCTGCTAAGGTGGATAGCCTCACCTCGGATAGTGCCATCTCCAGCTGCATTTACAGTACTGCCCCGAGACTCAGGTCTCCGGCCACCCCGAGAGCTGGACCCTCGGCTTCTGGAGCCAGAAGGTTCAGGCCCCCAGTCATCATCAGCCCTGTTCCCGCAGGAGCAGCAGCCACAGCAGCGAGCCCAGAAGGAGCGGCCTCCTCCTCGGCGGGAACGTGAGCGTCTGTCTGGCTCTGGCTCTGGCTCTGGCGACGGAGTGGTGGGGGGTTGCCAGGGGTTGCCACCCCAGCGGCCCACGTCTGAGCGAGGACCTTCCATTGTGCCTGCAAAGAAGAGCCAGGAATATTCTAAACCCACTCAGATCTCTTAGGATGCCCATCCCACCCATCCAGAAACTCTTCAGATAAATTGGTTCAGTACCAGTTAGGTGACTGAGATAATCTTATTCTAACCCGGAGATGCCCCAAAGACCCTATACTGTAGTGAAAAATCTTCTCTTTTTCACCTTTGCTATAGACACTCTCAAATCACATTAAAAAAAAAAAAAAAAAAAAAAAAAGCCTTGCGGCTCCATCTGAGGGAGTAAGTGAACAGCTCCAAACCCCAACCACTATACTGGTCCCTTTAGAGGTCCAGCCTCTAGGACCATTCAACAGAGTTCATCCCGTAAAGACAGGTAGGTGGCTCGGGGGCCAGAGTCCCCCACATTCCTCACATCAACGCAAACTTCAGCAGAGCTGTAGAATGGGTACAGCAGACTCAAGCTGAGAATGGCCCCACGAAAACAGGGACTCAGCCCACGGCAGCTACGCACTGAAGAGCCTGCCTTTCTGAGCTTGGGCTTGTCCCAAAGGCGACGACCTGCTGTGGCTCAGCACCGAGGTGGATGCTAGAACCTCTCACCTGGCAGCGGTGTTGGTGATGGCACCACTGGGTCCCGGGCCCGGGTGGAGCAGGTCAGGGCGTATGGGACGGGACCAACAGGCTGGACGCAGCCACGCGAGTGGAAGGTGTAGGGCGGGCCGGGTAAGTGGTTTATGAGGGGAAGGTGGGCGGGGCTGAGCTTCTGGGAAAAGGGGTAGGGTGGTTGCTTCATCCTTGGTCGGTCAAGAGGCCAGTCTCTGGGGGCTGTCCCCAAGTAGGGGCGGGACTTTCTCCTTTCTAGGAACTGAGATCATGCTAAGGAGGGGGGTCGGGTCAAGTCCTGTCAGACCTGGGGCTGAGGTGGAAATGAAAGGTTTTCTGTGATGGACCTCAACACCACCTTGATTCTTGCCACACCGCGGGTTCAGAGAGCGTAGAGAGTCCTGTAGTGCAGATTTATTTCCAAGCAGGAGAGGCTTACTTTTGCTCTCATAGCCCCCTGCTGCCAAGCTCTCTTGTGGTACCCAGCAGGCTTGGCCTTGTGGAACTGGTCCCTGGGCCTGGAACTCATTTTCACCAGGAAGATCCCAGTACCCCAGGCTGCAGACAGATGACATCAGCATCCAGGCCCTCAAACTGGCCCCACCTGCCAGTCCCTGACCAGCCAGCTATACCAGATCTTCTCCCAACCCTCAGCTCACTGCACCCCCCCCACCTGTCTCCTCCCAGCGGCTCCACAGCCCCCAGGATGAGTAGCTGGCCTGCAGTTCCCTAAGTTTGAGATTAAGGTGGGTCACAGGAGGCCCCATCTTGTTTTCCCCTCCCAGCTCGGCAGTTTAGGGAAGGCGTAGGTCTGAATGGACCAGGGCCTTCTCTCCAGGCTACCTAGTATCCTTCTTTCACTGAGTGTCTTGGCTACTGGAGGTGAGCATTGTCCCTTATTTCTAAGATTCTTCTTGGGAACCCAGACAGACAAGCTTCAGGAGCCTACCTTCCATACTTCCTGACTCGGGGAGAAATAGCAGAGATGTTAAGACAGCCCCAAGGCAGAGAGGAGCCAGGCCTCTTTCGGGAGGCTCTCCTTGGGTCCTGTCCTTGGCACTACTGGCCAGAACAAATTACTCTAACCCACCGGCATTCCAGCTCTACCGATGGGACACCAATCAGAAGATAGTGAAAACAGGGTTGGCAAAAAAGACCCAGAAGCAGATGTGGTAACAATCTGTTTGGAAATGTAGCTTGTGCAGAGGTATCTCGGGGAATAGGAACAGAAGCTCCAAGATCTACACACACACACACACACACTGACTTTCTGGGTTGTTGTGGAATGGTTTCACATACAGCCCCCAGGCAGATCTTGAACTCACAGCAATCCTGCTTTAGACCAAGTGCTGGGATTACAGAAGAGGGACAAGAGACCAGGTGTCGTGTGGGGTTCCCCACCCCCATTGATCTGGCAAGCCCTGGAGCCTACCAGAGGTTTTGTGCCACTTCCAATACCGTCAATTTACACCAGAGGAAATCAAAATTCAAGGTCGGTATGTGGCGGGTCAGCCAAAGGGCCTCACTGTGAGATTGTTTTGTGTATCACTTTGGATACGAGAAGAGGTGGGGCTTCAAAGGGGCAGGGTGTGTGAGCAACGGGAGCCCAAGCAGGTCCAAGAGAGCCAGGAAAATGCTTGCTTTGCCAAACTCTTCTTTTAATCAGTCATCCTCTCTCCCACTAAGCCAAGTTTGACTCAGTGCTCTAACCCGAGCCACTCCCTGGAGGCCTTGTACCCTGCAGCTTTCAAAGCCAGAACACAGTGAGGAGCAGTGTGGGTGCATCGGATAGGCCTCTGTTTAATTGGTTTCTATTAATACAGAAATAGGAAAAGATGTTTAGTATATGGCTTCAGCATGCAGCTCAGCAACCCTGGGGAAGTCATTGAAGTTTCTCTGTCAGTTCAAACATTCGAATCATCTCATCCCTGAGAGCATATGAGGATCAAATGGGATCAAGTATTCCTGAGGGCCTTTCAGCCATAGACTGTAATTCACAGGGACCAATATTAATTGCTTTAATAGGTTGGGGCAAGGTGCCCTCACACATTCTTCCTGGAACTTGAGGTCTTGCACCTACTCGGTTGTGTATAAAATTAGAGTCTGAAAGTGGCAGGAGTCACGGGAGAAGTTTGCACGCTCTCCTCCAGGTAGAGATAGCTGTTCTGAAGCTCAGCCCAAAACAGAACCTGATCCCAATGCCTATCCCAGCCTCAAGCTTGGGCTCAGTGCCAGACAGCCCCAATCCTGGAGGTGGACTCAAACCCACTTCTGATCCTGACTTTACTGTAAACACCTAGGTTCTGGCTCTCCACAATAGGTAGCAGCACATCAAGAGTATCACTGAAGAGCAGACCCACACCCCAAGGCTCTTCCCTTCCTTTTCTCAAAATGCACAGTGGTGGTAACAGAGGTAGTGGCATAATGGTAGCAGTAAAGGTAGCCTGGCAGCCTGGAGGGGTCTCTCCACTCTTTATTCAGTCCCAATAAGTTAAAGGGTAAGGGTGTGGGCAGGTCCTCCTAGGTGAGGATACTGCTCACAGAGGGCAGCATTTCAGTCAAACGCTCCAAGATGCCCCCTTCTTGGCACAGTGAATTGCCCTGCAGGTTGAGGAGGACTAGCTTGGGGCAAGAGGCAAGAGGCTGCAGTACTGCGGACTGATGGAGGCCTTGGGGCAGGAGAGTCAAGGAAAGCTCAGTAGTTCTTCCCCATCCCATTGCCTGTTACTGGACACCCCCCAAACCACAGCCTGCTGCTTGGAAGCACTTTTTTTTTTTTTTTTTTTTTTTTTCGAGACAGGGTTTCTCTGTATTGTTTTGGAGCCTGTCCTAGAACTAGCTCTGTAGACCAGGCTAGCGTTGAACTCACAAAGATCTGCCTGCTTCTGCCTCCCAAGTGCTGGGACTAAAGGTGTGTTCCACCAATGCCTGATGGAAGCACGTTTGATGGTCTCTTACCCATGTCCCTGGAGAAAATACAGCTCTTAGTAGAGACTGTAACTCTCTGGCTAAAGAGGGGGTTGTGGGAAGCAGGGATCATCAGGGAATGTGGACGGCTCATACTACTCATAAGGGGCTTCCTGGTGGAAATGTGGGTCAGAGGTGCTCTAATCTCCCATCTTCAAGAGGAGTCAGAGTTCATGATTTTCAAAAAATAGGGAAATTCCTGATTTCTAGACCCTAAGAATCCAACAGGGTGCCTATCTGTGAACCCTGGCTTGAGGAAGTCACACTTCACAGAACCCCAGAGCAAAAGCTAATAACAGCCCAGACAGTCTGTCCCAGGCTATCATCTCCCGGGGCTCACCCTGCCCAAGCCCTCTTTCCTGCCCTGCCTTGAGATGACCCTGTCTGTGTCTGCGGTTTGTCCCTCTGTGGCCTGCTCCTCACCCTATGAGCTAGCTGTCTGCACAGATGGAAGGATACGGTTATTGCATAGTAACAGCTCCTGTAGCCGGGGAAGGTTGGCCACGCCATCCAAGGACTCGAGGGCATTATCACTGGCCTGCAGCACCTGAGGAGCACAGCATTGAGGAGACACAAGGTCAGATGGGCAGCCTGAGACTGGTGCATGCCATGGGGAAGCCCCCCAAAGTAACCAGTTTAGGTGCGTGTGAAAGCTCACAGGGCCAGGCTGGGTGGTAGAGTGGGCTGGGAAAGCAGAGCCGCAGGGAGTAGTGGACATTGCTGTGACATGGGCAATCTTCTGAGTGGACCTCAAGGGAGGAAGAACACTTTACCTCAAGACAGCGCAAAGCACCCAGAGCTGGGGGCAGGGCTCGGAGGCGATTATGTGACAGGTCGAGATGAGTGACCAACAGCAGTTGCTCCAGATGGCAGAGCACTGTCAGATCCTAGGAGTGGAGGACGGGGTGAAAAACTCAGCAAGAGCTAGATCTTTAGCCACCTAGAAGACTCTTGTGAGAGGCTAGCAGCATATAAAAAGCAAATAGTCCAATGCATACGAGCATATGCCACGTCAGGGATGGGACAGAGAAACAGTTATGGTGGGGTGGCCAGCGGGAGCAGACGGGGAATGGGAAAGGGGAACCTCACGTGTGGATGGGACAGAGCAGAGTGGCATGTCCCACAGCACATAGAGAAAGTAGGAGTGGGCCTGTGGCGGCCTGCATCGATAAGGTAGAACCAATTTGTTAAAATGACTAGGAAGGCCAGGTGGTGGTAGTGCACGCCTTTAATCCCTGACTCAGGAGGCAGAAGCAGGAGGATGGAGGCTAGTGAGTTCAAGGCCAGCCTTGTCTACAGAGAGAGTTCCAGGAAAGCCAGGGCTACACAGAGAAACCCTGTCTCAAATAAACAATTACTAGGAAGGACTAGAAACAGAAAAAGTGGAGCCTGGAAGGCTTCCAGAAATCTCTAGAAACTTCAGGTTTTAGGTTTTGGGGGCCCGGATCCAGGGTGGGAAGCATGGGAAGACACATGGATCGTGAAGGGGCCATTTTTAAAGTTTTTGTTTTGTTTTGTTTTGTTTTGAACCCAGGGCCTTATATATGTTAGGCAAGCAATCTACCAATGAGATCTATCCCTAGCAAAGGAGTAGGCCAAAAGAAAAGTGATGGATTCAACCTGGTGGGGAGGAAATGTCTGGGAAGGCGGCTGTGATGGGGGTGAAGGCAGACACAGAAGGCGGCAGGCGGAGCCTATGGGGAAGGAGCGGGTGCTGAGCCCATACCTTGTGAGCCAGGTGCAGCACACGCACCTCAGCATACTCCATCCTGAGGACACTGTTTTCCAGCAGGAACTTGCTGCGCAGATCATCCAAGTAGGCTGCTCGCATTGGGTCCACAGCCTGGTGAGAAGAAGCAGATGGTCACAGGGGTCAGCTGTCTTCTAACTGCCTACTGGGCCTCCCCTGGCCTGTACCCCTGGGCCCGACTTGCTTTGAGGGTATGGAAGTATTGCAGTGTCTCTTTCTCATAGAGGAGGGGATCCAGTGCCCGCATCAGTAGGATGATGGTCAGCAGGCACCCTGGGGAGAAGGCAGAGAAATCTCTACAGTGTCTTGAGACCCCTTCCTCAAGGAGGCTCCCTGGGCAGGCCTCCTCAGCGTGGCTCCTGGGAGCTGGCTCCTCACATTTATTCTCAGGTTCCAGTTCCTGTAGCTCCTTACACGATTCAAGCTCAGACTGTAGCACTGTGGACTTCTCCACTGACAGCTCACACCTGAGAGTGGGCAGGTTAGGGAGGGTAGGCTGCCCACAGCCATGACCCCCACCCCCCACCCCCGGGCCCAGGCCTCCTGCCCCAACCACCCAGTGTCTAGAGCCTTCTGTCCTTGGGCTCCTTCTCATCACCTGAACAGCTGCTCATCAGTGGCTGAGTCTCGGCACCAGCACTCCTGGTGGCCTAAGGGGAAGGGCAAGTAGTAGGATGGGGCAGTGTGGGGAGGGAGAGAGAAGGCCGAGAAGCCTTGCAGTGAGTGGAGTTTTAGACATCGTCACCTTTGAAAAGCACACACTCCTTCTGGGCATCACTTGCTGTCCAGATGACACGGAATGTGTGCTGGGGCAGCTGGTCACTGAGACAGGCGGTGGGCAGGTCACACAGCTGGCAGAGCGGGTCAAGGAGACATGCTGCCTCACTAACATTTTGACTATCCCACCCAAGTCCTGCCCCAAGCACTCATCTCTGCCCCATCAATTCTGGGATACCCAGACATGGCTGGGCCGGTTCCTGCCATCTGGAGTCCTCCATTCCACGCTCAGAGGTGCCTCATCTACCATGAGCAGCAAGGTCCCCATCCTGGAGCCCACCTGCCATGGGGGACAAAGAGACTCATTAGCTCTAACAGCCTCAGACTCAAGAGTTCCATGATGCTTTTAGTAAAACCATTTGACTTACTGTTAGGGGACGAGAAAAGCAGACTGACAGACAGGCCTCATCCCGGCTCACATGCAGGCAGCGAAGAACATCTTGGGGCTCCGCTGGGGAGAGAGACGACCTTGGTTTGCCTTAAATCTTCTTCGTGTTCTACTTAGTCTCAAACACCCACCCTTTCCCCACTGCTTACCCCGACCCAGGAGCCAGCGGTGATAGAACCAGGCACTCTGATCATTGGGGTCAGTAAAGAAGGCATTCTGCACCAACTCCAGCTCTGTGGGGGCCAGGGAGGCATGAGGTTGGGTCAGCATTCAGGTAGGATCCTAGACATTCCAACAGCTCTCCAGCCCCGAGTTTCACTTGTACCCTGGCCTTACATGGGAATCACATGTATCAAATTTTATTTTTCCCATCAGATACCTGAGCTCCTTGTAGCCAGGAACTGAGTGATAGGTACATCCCAAAGACCAGTAAGGAGCTCAGTAAGGCAGGCTTAGAACAGGGTTGGACAGGCATCAGGACTGCGGAGGAGCTGCAGAAGCCTTGCCAGGAACCTCTAGGCCAGTGGTTCTCAACCTTTTTGATGCTGCCACCCTTGAATACAGTTCCTCATGTGTGGTGAGCCCCCAACCATAACATTGTTTCCATTGCTATTCCATAACTGATTTTGCTACTGTTATGAATCATAATGTAAATATCTGTATTTTCCAATGGTCTTAGGCGACCCCTATGAAAGATCTTTTGACTCCCCCAAAGGGGTCTCAACCCACAGGTTGAAAACCACTGCTCTAGGCCCTCTTACCTTTCAGCAGTACGTTTTCAGGGAGGCGTCCCTGTGGGCCAGAGTCTGGCTGGGGGTGCAGCTGGGGCAAGAGGCAGGAGCGGTAATGCCAGGAGGAATAGTTGGAGAAGTTCCGGGTGATGAGGCTATCAGTGAAGGCTAGTTCCTCTGCAGGAGCTACGGCAGCCTGTGCAGCCACAAATCGTCGGTAGTCCCAGCAATGAACTAAGGGGGTTGAGGGTGGGAACCTATCTCAGATGCAGGACAAAGAGGAGCTACTCCACTGATAGCCCCAGAATTGCCTCTGAGAGCCCTAGAAATACTTCAGGGCAAACCCATACAGGCTGCATCCCTTTCAGCACTACCACAGTGGATGTTGGTGCTGGATCCTGGATACCCCTCCCACTCTGCACCAGTATCAGGATGTGGGGCACATGAAGATGCAGGCACAGGACTGTGGGCACTTACAGTTCCGCTCATCGACTTCGAGGAAGCGAGCACACAGTTCCAGCTCCCGGGCCCAGTTGGGCTCAGGCAGGCGGCCTAGGAGCCAGGAACGGTGGTGCCAGGTGCCATAGGACTTAGGGTTCACACGTAGACAGCTCTCTAGGAAACCTAGCTCTGCCTTCACAAGAGCATCCAACTCCTCAGGGGACCTGTACCACAATAGAAAGGGAGGTTAGAGCCTTTCAACACCCAACCACAACTTCTCCCTCCCTTCCTGCATCCTTCCCCCACCATCCTATCTCCATGCCCCTGGCTACTCCATTCCTCCTCCAGTTCTGTACCAGGCAGGACCAGGGCAGGGACCTGAATCACTACATACTTCTGGGTTTCTAGCTGCTGGAGCACTTCTCGGCGACAGTTCCAGAGGGTGGCAAAATCAGGGTTGGCTCCCAGAATCTGGCTTGTCAGTTCTAGCACTGACTCGTCCAGCTCGCCAGCCTGCCGCTAAGAAGACAGGTTACAGGGTCAGTGACTACAGCTCTAGGCTAAACATTAAAACTCAGAACCACCCAATAGTGGCTCTATGCAACAGGTAGGTACCATGCAACCCTTGTACAGCCTCATAGGTATTGTTTCATTTAATCTTTGCAACATGCTTATGCAGGATCTACATTTATTAGCTCCATTTTACAGCTGAACAAACTGAAGACAGTAAGAGTTTCAGTGACTTGCCCAAGGCAACACAGCAACAGCAGACAGAATTCAGATTTGGATCCCTGCGGTTTGACTCTAGGGGCAAGCGTTTGGTCTCTGTGTTTGGTCTTAGGGATTGGGGCTACCTCTGAGGGCCCCACCTTCTGAAAGACAGCTTGAGTGGCTGATTGGTAGAGCTTCAGCTTCTGTTCCCGTTCTAGCCTTTTGGCTTCTGCCTGCTCTTCGGAGGTCTTCACCTTCAGGCGCCCATGCTACCGGGATGGGTAGGGGGGATACAAATGCAGGTTGTCTTCCCAGGGCAGACTTGCAGAAGCCCCACAGAGTCACGCGGGGTGAGGGCGTGGGCATGCAGGGGCAAGGAGCTGCACTCAGGGATCTCACCATGGTGTAAGCTCAGCGTCGGGGACAGGGGAGGGGTCCAGAGGCTCAGTCTGCAGAGAAAGATGTCAAACACGGAACCCCGCCCACACAACCCCGCCCCTAGGTGTTTTCCGGAAGCTGCCAGCCGGCCTGAGCAAAGAACCTCCGAGTATGAAGAGGTCCTGCGGCTGGAACTGCGAGGTCCGGAGGCACTCACCACAACCCGAGCTTCGTCAGGCCGGGCCCTAGCCGAGGCACACACCGCGTCCGGGCACTCCGCTCGTCCCGCACCCCCTCCCCCGCGGACGAACCCACCTTCGCTGGAAAGAGGTGTTGGGACGTGCAGCCCGGCGCTGGCACCGAGTCCCAGCCTGGCTAGAGAGGCTCCGCGCCGTGTGATGGGAGGCTCTGCGCCCCCTGCAGGCTCGGGGAGGGAGCTGCGTGGGTGTCATCCAGGTTCTTGTTAGCGCCCTGGAAGGAGTGTGTGAGCTAATATGTGCCTGACATGGAAAGGCTTCCCGTTAGCAACTCAAACTGCAGCCTAGTTGAAGAAGTTTCCCCAACAGCCCGACACCAGCGAATTCTGGCTGTTCTCTTAATTTCGTCCACATTAGTGGTTACTTTTGGGAAGGTGATGACACCCAAATCTCTAGCCCAGATGTCCACAAGCATGATGATATGATAATAATAATTATATATATCAGAATACGTATGCATTGGCATATTCAAAAACCCATTTGAAAAAGCCAGGGGCTATGGTGGTGCTTGTAATATCAGCTTCTCGGGAGGATAATGCAGGATGGTCTCAACCTTCCGAACACTTGCAGTTTCTCATGTGGTGTTCCCCAGCCATAAAGTTATTTCATTGCTACTTAATAACTGTAATGTGTTACTGTTATGAGTCGTAAAATAAATACCTGATCGCAGAATAGCTGATATGCGACCCCCAAAGGGTTGATGACCCATAGGTTGAGAACCACTTAAACTCTAGAATCTAAAGTTTAGGTAATCGTGAGATTTCTAATTAAAACAAAAAATAAACAAACAAACAAAAAAACCTAAGTATGTCCTAGAGATATTTCAAACTATGAAAGCTAAAAGATATTGTCATGTCTACCCCTCCTGAATGCTGGCTTTATGTTCATTGTTGTACAGGATGGCACTATTTCTCCCTGATTTTCTCCCTATTGATATCCTCCCCATTCCAGGTGCCACTAAAGTTGTTGAAATGTTCTTCATCCCAACCATGTCCCCTTTATCATCAATTCATCTTTTGTGTCCTGGAAATGTATTTAAAGTACCCACTATGTTCTTAGTCTTTTTCTAGGTCCTGTAACATATTTTAGAGGAGAAGAGATGATTTTCCTAGTCTTGTATACTTCAGTCCCAGTGGGGAAAACATACTTAGGTTACTGGTTATCTTTACTCCTGGCACTGTGATGGGAGCTCTCTATATATGGGAGGCATATGAACACACACACACACACACACACACACACACACACACACACACACACACACGACCACATGTAAAGGCAAAAGCAGAGTCATTAAAAACGTGACTCATCCTAACATGGTGGTTCACACCTGTAATCGAAGGGCTTGGGAGGTTGAGGCAGGACTGTCCTGAGTTTGAAGATAGACTGTTTCAAAATGTTGTTTCAAGATGAAAAAATAAAAAAGCTGGATGTATTGGAGAACACCTGTAACCCCAGTACAAGGGTGGAAAGAGAAAAATGTCAAGGTCCAGGCCAACCTGGGTTAGTAAAGGAGTTCCAGGTTAGTTTTTGCCACATAGTCTCAAAAACCTAGTAACAGAAGAAACATTTTATCTATATGCTTGAGTTGACATGAAGAAGTGATGGCCCACGCCTTTGATCTCAGCACTGGCGAGGCAAAGGCAGGTGGATCTCAGTGAGTTCTAGGCCAGCCTAGTCCACAGAGCTGATTCCAGCACAGCCAGGGCTACACAAAGAAACCTTGCCCGTCTGTCTGTCTGTCTATCTATCTATCTATCTATCTATCTATCTATCTATCTATCTATGTTCTTTGAATAATGATTATACTGAATAAACACTCAGTAAATAATAATGTAGTTATTACTTTTAACTTTCTGAACAAATATGCATGAATCAGAGGTCCAGAAGGTGCTGAGGGTCACCCAGGTAGTAAGTAGCTAGATAAGACTCAGATGTGATTCTGGTCTAGTCTCACGTCATCATTCATTTTTTTTGTTGTTGTTGTTTGGCTACTTCCGGATCTTATAGGTACTCAGACATTCAACCAGATACCAGGGATACCAATGCCAACTGGTGAAGGTTTGCTAAACACAGCATTACATCATAGTCACTAGAGGAGGAGGGGAGGAGGTGGGTGAAGGTTGAGGCAAGCACGAAAGACTATTTAATAATTAGCGATCTTGAAACTGGCAAAGCTGAGTCAGGCAGGCTTGAGAGGAAGTGATTCCTCTGGAAAACATCTGCATTCAAAAAGGTGGGGCCTGTGTTTTGGAAAGAGAAGGCAGGAAGGGCATTTCAGACATGTGTGACATGAAGATGGGGGTGAGGAAACCAAACAGACTTAGCTGGCTGGCAGAGGGAAGCTAAACCAGGTGCCCTCAGATAAGAACAGCTAAAATGATGACACGCCTCTTAATGGCAAGAGGAGTTGTGAGCTATATTTGGCCTTCTCTGTGAGGTAGTGGGAAGCAGGCAGCTGGTTGAGGGCTGTGCTCTGATATCTGAAGAGGTTTTTCTGCTCCTTGTGAAAGCAGTGATATGAGCATCAGTAGAGACAAGTCAGTATGCTCAAAGCACTGTGGATGTAAGGCGGTATCATCCGTATCACGTAATGAGGAAAGAGACGGGTTGGAGAGCACCTGCACACAGTACTTACAGGACCCTGAGCAGTCAGAGACCAAATATGGTTTGGGTTGGGAGGAAGGAAGGGACAGTGAGCCACAGTCAACGCTGGGCTGGCAGCCATGCTGCAGAAGTAGGGAAGTAAGGAAGAGGCTGGTACTGAAGCTGGGCTCCTCTGCAGCATAAGGTGTGTTTGTTTTCAGTCACCTCATCTTTCACATCAGGGCTGGGCTGCCACAGAGTGCTAGGTCCCAGGGATGCAGTGCTAGACCAAAAAACCCCAAACCAAACCAAACAAACAAAAAACCAAAACCAAAAGAAAAATGATGCTCCTTATAGATTATGGTTAGTGAAGCCCTAGGTAATAGAGCTCTCTGTGGAAGGACAAGGTGGGCCTTTAATCCCAGAACTAGGGAAGTAAGAGGGAGACAGAGAGAGAAAGAGGGAGGGAGGGAGAGAGAGTCTTTTATTAAACCGCAAGATTGCCACCACAGTTAGCAATCCCCAAGCTCCTGGGATCTCCCTGTCTCTACCCCATATCCCCCACTGCTGATATGTAATAATACTTTCTCCTTAAACTTCTGGTGTTTCAACTGGGCGGTGGTGGTGCACACCTTTAATCCCAGCACTTGGGAGGCAGAGGCAGGCAGATCCCTGTGAATTCGAGACCAGCTTGGTCTACAAGAGCTAGTTCCAGGACAGCCTCAAACCCTGTCTCGAAAAACAAACAACAACAACAACAAAAGCCTTCTGGTGTTTCTTTTATTCTTCCTACAGTTGTAAAATAAGAATAATATACACATATCTTAAGAATACACATCCCTGGGCGTTGGTTGTACATGCCTTTAATCCAAGGCAGGTGGATCTCTGTGAGTTTGAGGCCAGCTGGTCTACAGAGCGAGTTCCAGGACAGGCTCCAAAGCCACAGAGAAACCCTGTCTCAAAAAACCAAACACACACACACTCACACACACACACACACACTCACACACGCACGCACGCACGCATGCACGCACACACACACACACCATATGGTTGCAAATCTGATCCTCCTATTTTAAAATTCTCCCCGACACAGAGGCGAGAATGGGTTAGTGAGGAACTAGGTATATCGATAGGGAGTAGGGATGAGCATGGGATGATCATTAGGAACCTTTCTCAGCAGTATACAGACAGAACATGTTCATCAGAGTCATGTGGCTGAGCCAGAAGGACTAGAAGTTAGACCAGTTCCCTGGTAGGCAGACAGAGGAAGAGCCATGGCCAGATAATAAAGATGGTGAACTTTCAAGATGGCTGGCTTCTCCATCACCCTTTTCTCCTGAGATAAAACCCTGGCAACTTAAAACAAAGGCCTGGTGGGCTTTTTCTCCCACCAATAAGACTCCTTGTCTGTGGAGCAGTCTGCTAAGTTCAAGGCCGGACCAGGATGTGTTTGCTCCAAATGTGTGGACCTGTCAGCCTCCCTGCTTTTATTCAAGCTGACCAACTCTAAACTGGGGGAGGGACCCCCCCCAAGGTCTTCAAGGAGAGGCTCCACGTCTGCTTTGAGGAGGGCCTGTCTTTCTTTCCTGGTCAGTTCTGCCTGCTGTCTGTCTGCCGTGTCTGAGATTTCCCCTGCTGCTACTTGATGTGCTCAAAATGCTCAAGATTTTTTCTCTCCCTTTGATTCTTTTTTGTTTTGTTTTGTTCTTTGAGGCAGGGTTTCTCTGTGGCTTTGGAGGCTGTCCTGGAACTAGCTCTGAAGACCAGGTCCCTTTGATTCTTTAACCCAAAGAGAAAAGGAACCGAATCAGGGTACCTAGATGGTAACAGGTTTGCCTGAGGCTGGGGAAGGATGCCTGCTTCTGAGGGAAAACAAGCAAGATTGGGAGTAGATGGGTCAGGCTACTCCAGCAACAACTCAGGAGATCAGCAGATTAGAAAGAAGACACTTTTGGAAATTGTGGTTCATGTTGCTACCTGGGTCGTGGTGGTGGTGCACACCTTTAATCTCAGCACTTGTCAGGCAAAGGCAGGTGGATTGCTGAGTTTGAGACCAAAGTCTGGTCCAGGATGGCTAGGGCTACAAAGAGAAACCCTGCCTCAAAAAAAGGAAACAAAACAAAAGAATTCCAGAGCTGTTGGAATGTGGCAGGGAGAAGGTGGTATGAGAAGAGAAAGGACCACTGCTCCTCTGCTGGGTTTGATGTGGACATGTCCTGAGGCAGCAGGAAACGGTTGCCTGGAGAGAGGCTGAGAGGACGGAGCAGAAGACATCAGCGTGGGTGTCAGGCATATGCACCTAGTAATTACACTGTGGCAGGGAATGTGCCATCCGGGGAGAGGGAAGATGAGGGAACCCACAAACAAGCTTTGGTAGAGTCATGATTAGGGCAGGGCTGGGAGTGCAGGATGGAGCAGCCTCAGTGGGGAAGCAGAGAGAAATGAACACTGGAGAGAGAAAGA